AAAAGAACCTAGGTTTCCTTGGTAGCGTTGTGGTACTGTTCATAATGTTTAAATTCCCACAAATTTGATGTATTTTTAGTGGTATGGGGCAGTCTTAAAAAAGGACAGAAGAACAATGTGTAAATGTGTAGGGAAGTGATGACGCTTGCATGTCACCCACCGTAATTATTTCCATTTTTGGGGGGGAGAACTTAAGAAATTTCTCCTGCGTGTACTGTGTTCCATGCATTGTATTTTGTCTATGTTTTAGTGTGGCACATTCCTACAGTACTTAAAATAAATCTGTGTTGGTCAAAGTTGATTGAACTGTGTGTTGAAATAAATAGGTGAAGGCAGTGTGTGGTTGGAGTACTCTGAAGTACAGCGCCTGGAAATGTCACTACCTGCCATCACACTGCCTTCAGTCAGTAGATAATGGAAGGAATGAAAATACTTCACTGGCTCAAGGGGAAGAATCACAGAATCACCCGGGTAGGAAGGGACCTCAAGGATCATGTAGTTCCAACCCCCCTGCCTAGCAGGGCCACCAAACACACACATTCAGATCAGGTTGCCCTGGACCCCGTCCAACCTGGCCTTAAACACATCCAAGGACGGGGCATCCACAACCTCCCTGGGCAGCCCGTTCCAGGGCCTAACCACTCTCCTTGTAAAGAACTTCCCCCTAACATCCAACCTAAATCTTCCCTCCTTCAACTTGGATCCATTTCCCCTAGTCCTGCTGTTGTCAGCCCTTTTGAAGAGTTTACTCCCCTCCTGGGTGTAGGTTCCCTTCAGGTATTGATAGGCTGCAATGAGGTCACCCCGCAGCCTTCTCTTCTCCAGGCTGAACGAGCCCAACTCCCTCAGCCTGTCCTCATAGGGGAGGTGCTCCAACCCCCTGATCATCTTAGTCGCCCTCCTCTGAAGAAGAGATCCTGCCCTGATTGCCTCCTCTGTCAGAGCTGCATCTTGCTCAGCTGCTGGGGTGGGGCAGGTAGAGAGCTGTCAGAGAGCTGATCTTGCTTTGCAGAACTCGGCTCAGAGCCAAGGGCAAGGTCAGGAAAACCTTTGAAAAAATTCTCACTAGCTGTATTTGGAAGGTGAGACCTGCACAAGTGAGGCAGGCTGGGAGGACTCGGGTGTGGGTGTTGATTTTTGGTGTTTGCTGGCGCTTCCCTGTGTGCGCACAGCCTCGCCTCTGCTCACTGGTGCACAGAAGTGGGGCTGGCACTTCTGCTCCTCCAGGAGGAGTGCTGTCAAGTGAATCTGTGTGTGAGCAACAGCGCAGTGAAATAGCCAGTCGCTTCGGAAAGCCGCAGGCTTCCTGTGGCTGCTCAGGCCTCTGCCCTGCTCAGAGCTGTGCTCTCTGTTGGGCAGGCAGCCTCCATGTATCTGCCCTGCAGAGCTGCTGTCACATCTGGGCTGGTGTGACAGAAGGTACCAGGCTGTTTGGCTGCTGTGGCTGTGGGCAGTGAACAGAAAAGGTGTTTTGCAGTGCAATGGTACTGCGTGTTCCACACGACGTTTTACTTTATATCTGAAAAGCAGAGGGCACAAAAATAACCTAAATGAGAACAATAGCCTAAATTAGCACTCTTCTAGATCCATTTAACCTGTTTTGTTGTAAATATTTCTGTGGCTCGTCTGTGTTTTAAAGAAAAAGAGAGAAAATTCCGCCTCTCTGCCCTTCTTTCAGGATAGGGCTGGGCAGCACTTTGTGTTTGGCTTGACTGCTGGTGCAGATGAGTGCAGAGCTCTGCGCTTCGCTTGTCACCTGGTGGTTTATATTTAGAGGAGAGAAAGTGTGCGTTTCTGTGAAAGCTGCTTTTTCAATTGTGCAAAAGCTCAAGTCAGATGCTGAGTTATCAGAATGAGGCTTGAATCGTTTAAAATCGTTTAAATTTTAATCATTTAGCTTTTTATTTTTTCTTCCTGTGACCTATTAGAGTTGTAGTCCTGCCAGTTCAAAACATGCACTCCTTGAAAGCAGGCTGCCCAGTGCAGAGGCCTTCCCAAATCGGAGACTTCCTCTCAGTGCTCATTGCAGCAGGCCTTTTTGAAGAAGGCTTGGAAAATCACATCCCTTTGGTGTTGTTTTGGTCTTAACTGAATGTTGTCTGTGATGCTGGGCAGAGCATTAGCTAGTGGATTGTAAATGCCATCCATATTTGGACAATTTAAAGCCATGTTTTTGTTTCCATCTCTGTTCTACTTAAGACGAGGGTGGAAAGCTTAAGCTGGTGCATGAACATGACTATCCACTTTTACTTTCTCAGAACCCTCAACAATTAAACACAAATGCCTTTGTTCCCCGGTGACTTCATTCTTAAAAGACCTTTTTAATTTTGCTCATTAGTTTCAGGAGGGAATAATGAAAATCTGTCATTGTCAAGAAGGCTGCATCTCTAATGTGTGAGGGAGCTGCTCCATAATTCATGGGCAGGAGATCATGGGTGTGGAAAGGACGGTGCAAAATGGAGATGAGATTTCAGTTCAGTGAGTCTTGAACCTAAAGACAGCTTTTCTATTCTTCATGATATTTTCTTGACCTGTATTACTACACGTTTTGCTAACTCATCCAGATATTTTTAGATTTTCTAATTTAAGAACATACCGAATTATTGGTTATTTTTGTAATACTTATTCTGTCTTTTGGTGATGGAAGGAAGTTTGCTCACCAGAGCAGTGCTGATTTATTTCTCTTCCATCTGTCCCTTTGTGTACTTGTAAGCTATGCATACTTGTGTGCAGAAGTGCTGCTGTTTCTCATCATTCCCTCTCTTCTCATAGATTCCTTGAGATTTTTCTTGCGTGATGAGCCGTGTATCACTGTTGGTGTGCTGAGAAGGGGTCCTACACTGTAGGACATGATTGAGAGCAAATCTGTCTCATTCTACGTTGAGTCTGAATGCAAACACAGAGTCGTTGCAGAAATTTTGTAGCAGGCTTGGATCCACTGAAGCACACTGTGCTGTCTGCAGGGATTCATGCAGTCAGCCATCACCTTCCAGCTCTACTGTTTTTGCACACGTTCCCATCCTTGACAGAGTAAACTGTATGACTCTGCCTGAAGTGAATCAAGGAGCACACGTGATTTTCATCTTCTAGTTGAGCTGAAGATGTTATAAGCTCTAAAAGATGTGCTAATAGCCAAGCAGCAGCCACAGTGAATGAAGCTAGCACTGGTCACTGCATAGTGAAAATAATCCCCAGCAGTGAAGATGTAGCCTTTATTTCTGCATTTCTTTTTGTGATATTTCTTTCTTGTAGCATGTGTTTGTGTGCAGGTGCAGGAAGCTCCACTGTGCTGTCAAACCCAATCTGTCTGGGGCATGCCAATGCCTGATGTTGAGGCTGATCTCAGCCCTGGGAGCCATTGCTGCGTGTGAGCAAAGTAAACTCTAAAACATCTTGTGTTAGTTATGAAGTGATCTGCTTTTGATGAAGCTGCCTTGTTCAAGTTCAAAGGCTGTCAACTTTGTACGAAGAAAATTGAACTCGCTGAGTTTCTTAGAAGGGTAGAAAGGATGACACAGGGAACTACTGACTATGCTGGGGAGAATCATGGAGCAGATTTTCCTGGAAGCTATGTAAAGGCATGTGGAAGAGAGGAAAGTGATATAGGATAACCATCATGGCTTCACCAAAGGCAAGTCCTGCCATACCAACCTAGTGACTTTCTGTGATGGCATAACTGCATCAATGGACAAGGGGAGATCCACTGATGTCACCTATCTGGACTTCACTAAAACCTTTGATACAGTTCCTTACAGTATTCTCCTCTCCAAATTAGTAAGATATAGATTTGATGGGTGAACTGTTTAATGGACAAGGAACTGGCTGCAAGTTCATACTTGGAGAGCAGTGGTCAATGGCTCAGTGTCTGGATGGAGATCAGTGATGAGTGCTGTCCCTCAGGGGGTCAGTACTGGGACCTGTACTCTTCAATATCTTCATCAATTACATCAAGAGGGATTGAGTACACCCTTAGCAAGCTGGGGGACACCAGATTGTGTGGTGTTTGACACACTCAAGGATGGGATGCCATCCAGAGAGACTTAGGCTCAAGCAGTGCCCCCAAGAGAGCTTCATGAGGTACAACAAAGCCAAATGCAAGGCCTTGCGTGCATCTGGTCTGTGGCAACCATCACTGTCAGTGCAAGCTGGGGGACAAAAGGATTGAGCACAGCCTTGTCAAACAGGGCTTGCGAGTCCTGGTGGATGGCAAGCTGGGCATGAGGCAGCAGTGTGCCCTCACAGCCCAGAAAGCCAACTGTCTTTTGGGCTCTATCAGAAGAAGGGTGGCCAGCAGGTTGAAGAAGGTGATCTTGCCCCTCTGCTCTGCACTGGTGAGCCCCCACCTGGAGTATTGCATCCAAATGTGGAGTCAGTACAGGACAGACATGGATCTATTGGAGCACATCCAGAAGAGGGCCACAAAAATGATCCAAGGGATGGAACACCTCTCTATGAGGACAGATGCAGAGCGGGGGCTGTTCAGCCTGTAGAAGAGAAGGCTCCAGGGAGACCTGAGAGTGGCTTTCAGAACCTGAAGGGGAGGCTGAAGGGAACCAGTTTTGTTTGTTTGCTTGTTTTAGAGGGATCTGCTGTGATAAGACGAGGGGAAGTAGTTTCAAACTAAAGGAGGGGAGATTTCGATGGGGTGCAAGAAAAAAGCTCTTTATTATCAGAGTGGTGAAGCACGGGCACAAGTTGCCAAAGAGGTGCTGAGTGCCCCGTCCCCAGAAGCGTTCAAGGTCGGGCTCGGCTAGGCTGTGAGCAACCTAATTGAGCTGTTGGTGTTCCTGTTCCTTGCAGGAGGGTTGGACTAAATGACCTTTAAAGACCTTCCAACTCAAACGATTCTATGAAACAGCAGGAGATTTTGGTTAAACTATGTCCATATGTACTTTGACAGGAAATGAGTCATATTCTTGCAAAATCATAAGCTGAAGAATTTGTGACTTTTGTATGAAAATTTCCATTTGTGGGTAAGTCAGATCTCCTTCTCTCTCTAGGTTTTTCTCGGGCATCAGGAATGTCTTCTGAGCCTGCTGCATCTGCCTCGGAGCAGTCCCCCTCCTCTCTGCACTCGTCCAGTTCTCTCCATCTGCCTGAAAGCCGCAGGACGAGAGATCGCTCCCCATCTCCCATGAGGGGGTACCTCATCCCCAGCCCCCTGCCCACGCGGCGCACCAGGACGTATTCAGCGTGAGTATGGGGAAACCTGCACTTAGTGGGGACAGCCAAGTGACTGCGATGGGGCAGATTGATCAGCCCCTCAATTAGGTGGAGCGAGGTTGAGTTTGTTGTATTTGGAAAGTGCTTTGGTCTTTTACTGTTATCTTTTCCCCTTAAAATCTCGTGGGATTAGAATTTTATTAGTCTTAAATTGCTTCTAGTTTTCTATGGTCTGCTTGGATAAAGAAAGTTGGAAGTATTTCCCTCTCTTTAAGACCAAATTGGTACTACTAAGTAGTTGCTGCTGAGGAATATACTGGCTGTGTAGTGAATGGGTTATTTGAACCATTGTGCCCGTTTGCTTGGAGTGCTGCAGCTGAACCTTCTGCATCCGTGCTCAGCAATGAACTGCTCTTTGTGCTCTATTTCCCAGAACTGTGAGAGCATCAGAGGGTCCCATCTACAAAGGCGTCTGTAAATGTTTCTGTCGCTCTAAAGGCCATGGCTTCATTTCCCCTGCAGATGGAGGGCCTGACATCTTCGTACACATTTCTGAGTAAGTTGCTGCTGAGAAAGCTGGAGTCTCAGTTTTTTCTTGATTACTTAATGCTTTAGATATATCGCATTCTAAGGGCGTCAGGCTATGAGCTGTCCTTAATACCACGCAGTTGTGCAGATGTTACAGAAAAAGAAGATAATTTACCTCTGCCAGTATTGCTATAAATCTGTTGAGAACTAGTAGATCATTCTATCAGTCTACTAGAATAAGCTGTTTTGCCTCAACCTTTTCTCTGCTAGGGGGTTTGTTAGTAGCTCTGCTTTTTTCCCTTGAACTCATGAAGATCTGTTGTATCTGAATATACCTTTTGATGAATCAAATGAATTGAGCTTTTCAAGTCTGTATTTTTTTTTTCCAGTCTAAAACACTTTCCAGTTTCTTTTCTAAGTGTGCTGCAGCCTTTAAAAGTTACTAAAAAAAAAAAAGGGGGAAGGGGAGGAGGGAGAAAATATAGTTGTGTGTAGATGTATTTTCAGTACGTAGAGATAGGAATCTTCTTCCATACTTCTGCTGCTTCTCTTTCTATACATCCCATAATCGCATTAGCCCTTCTTGTCCTTAGTCTCTTGCTGACTTGCTTATCTGCTCTGACCTCTGCATCCTCTGCAGCATCAGGGTTTGGTGCAATCCCAGTTGCAGTCTGTCATCTTCTGGCAGCAGGGTTTGCATTCCTGGCTCCCAGATACATGACTTCATATTCTGTTGCACTGCAGCACATTTGATTTGAATAGGCCCCGCTTGCCAAGGGATCCAGATCACTCTGACTGTCTTCATTATTTATTGCTTGAGTGATCTCCAAGTTTGTATTTGTTTCTAGATGGGGTTGTTGACCACCATGGGGGTTGAAACTGGCCTACATTAGGATTACTTTTCTCCATCAATTACTTATCTTTTTACTTATCAGTGTTTAGTCTAGCTATTGCTTACAGTGTTGAAGCTATGTAACCCTCATTTGTTTTCTTTGGAGTGGTTGTCCAGTAGTAAGTCAGTAAGAGCCTTACCAAATTAGCTCAGGTGCCCTCAGTTATCTTTTCTGCCCATGCAGTTAACACATCTCCTTTGAGAATGAGCAGGCTGGCATTTTTCCAGCTTTTCTGAAATGTTTTCTGCATGATGGGCTGTTCAGGGTACACAAACTGCTTCTGCCCTTGATTGCCCTCCAAACAGCTGTAACTCAAACTCCAGTGATGTTTTACTGTTAGTCTGTTTAGCCAAAATATCTCCTTTGCTGAAGTCCTATATGACATTACAAAGATCTTTTTTTTTGGCTGTTGTGATTTTACTGGTTTGTGTGAGGCCCCATCGCAGGATTCCCTTCTTAACTATATGCTGTGGTTAAGTGAGTGTACCCTGGATGCAATGTGCCATCTTTATCCTTTCTTCCACCCAGTCAATCCATCCTAAAAACAGTACTGAACAAGTTGTCGTTGTGAAAGTTCATAGGCAACCACATTTCTTATTTTCAGCATATTAATGTTGCTGACACTTCTGCTTGCCCTTATCTTACCCAGCCACGCTCTCAGCTTGCTCTCCCCCAAGTAATGGATGAGAGGGGGAGGGCTGTTGTTTGGGCAAGGGATAGCATGCTCCAGCCTTAGCTGTGGCTTCCCAGGTCTCAGTTTGGTGTCCTAGCCCTTGGGTCATGTTTATCCCCTTCATTTTTAATTGCTTCACTTCAATTCATATTTGAATTAGTACTGATGGGGACCAGACTATCTCTGTAAGTCATGCTGCACAGAGCAGTGTACACTGCAGTTTTTCTGCAGTACAGCAATTCTCTTAAAGCAGAGCAGGTTCTTCTTTCACCATACATGAGAAAATTGGAGGGCCCTCCTCTGCCCCGTCTGCTACTGGAAGGTGACAGAGCCTTTCTGGCACCCAACCCACTCTCAACGATCTGGTGATGGAGTTCCACTGCCTCCCTGGCTGATCCCTTCCTGTAAGGAGCAGATCTGGTTCCTAAATGTTTCTGGTGTTCAACCCACCTCTCTCTTGCTTTCATTGTGGCCCTTCATTCTCTGTAGCAGATAGGTGATACCTTTCTTTTTTAAGCTTATAATTTCTGTGTTCACAGATCACTTTTTCTGGTGATGTGAGTTGGGCATGCCCAACACAGTGAGTAGGTTGATGTGGTTTTGAGCAGTCCATAGCAATCCCACTTGCCTTTCCCAGTGTATATGGGTGTGAGCATGTAAAGGAAACTTTCTTTTTTATTATCCTCTGGGCCTTTGCATTAGACTGTGATTTGGGCTGAAACCTGTGTGCCTGCAAAGACAAGGCAAGGAGACAGTTCACTGGAGAGCCCTGATGAATTAATGACAACACTTTTTTTTTTATTAAGGATTTTCTTTTTTAAAAGTAGCTGACGTCTTGGAGCCAAAAAGCATGTGCAGTGCTTGTGGGTTGTCTGTGGTTTGCTAGTGCTTGGCTCTGAAGGGGAAAATACTGCAATGCAGACAGGCCTTTGGTTTCCTGACCCCATGTTTGATGATGGCTTTGTAGAAATGATGCTACACTTCTCCCAGTGCTTTGACTCACAGCACCTTTGTGTCCCAGAACACATCCTGCACTTGTTGTGTTTTCCTCACATGTTATTTTGTGATCTCAGGAAAATATACTTGTGGACCCATAACTCTGGTGAACTGGGGCAGGGGAAAAGATAGCTGCAGAAGATATCTTCTGATGATGTCCCAGGTAGAGATAAAGTCTTGTTCTGTTGCTGGCTGTACTGGAGAGGTACCAACAGTGTCATCTTCCTGTAGTGAGGAACCCAGCTGTGTCCTGGCCACTGTCACACTGCATTACAGAAACCAATTTCTGAGCTACCTGTGCCTGTGGAGACATCACACTACTTGCTTTCCTCTGACTTTCTGCTATGTCACTGTATTTAAAGCAGAGTATTAATGCTACCATCTTCGGTGTGGCTGCTCTCCTAGTGAAGTGTAATGATCCTGGCTGGAAATTAACTGATAATTAGAAACCATCTGAGAGCTGAATTTGAGCTGGGGGAATGATTCATCCAGCCCCTCTTCCTTTCCTGTGAACTAACAGCAGTTTCTGGGGCTGCTGGGAAGCCAAATCTGCACTTTCTGATTTCCTTCGAAATATTTGAGGCACTTTATCTTGCCTGCTTTGTGCATTTCCTTCCTGATGTGTGTCTCTCCTGGTGCCTTGCTGCAACTGTTAAGTATCTGAAATGAGCACTTTGAGTGTGTGTGTGTGGGGGGGAATTGGGGCAGGGGGGAGAGGCTGCAGAATATCAGTTCTTCCTTGGGGAGGGGTTTGGATCTTAGTAAGACAGGAATAGATTTTCCTAGGAGTTCTCCTTTGCACCCAAGTTGGCTCAGAAAACTTGTGTGTTGCACCAATGCACATAGGAATTTCAGCTTGTTGTGTTTATAGCAAAACCTCTCCAGGATCTCTACATAACTGTGTAAGCCACGATAGCTGAAAGTCAATACTTGTACTGTATGTTGAAGCAGTGTGGTGGGCAGTGCAGGAGACGGTAGCTGCCTGAGGACAGGGGCTCCCTGGTTAGTAAGCACAGAACACAACAGCCAGGGCTTTGGCTTTTGGATGTGAACGGTAGGTGTTGCTGTGATGGAATCTCAGTTGAGTGCTTGCAGAAGCCTGAGACCAGGTAGAAATCTTTGGAAAGCTCTGCTTCTTGTGATCATCACTCTCTTCCTCTTAGTGAGCTGCATAGTGTTGAATTGGCTGTTCAGAGCAGGTATGGAGACATAACAACCCTCAAGCATGGATTCCAAAATCATGAGATCTCTGGAGATCTGAGCAAGAGTGTGATGCATCTGGTGTACTGGAAGAGAAGAGCAGCTTCCTTCCTAGCTGTGGGAGGACCAAACCGGGGCCCTCAGAGAGTAAGGCAGTCTCATAGAAGAGATCTTGGTTGTTTACAGCTGGGATTCCTCAGTGTTTGGGCCTCGTTCAAACTTGTATTTCCCAGTTAGGAGTGACTGGTGGGCGACTCCTGCTACTGGTTTTCCTGCCAACCATCTTGATAACGACATTGCTGGCATTGCTGATCTCAGCTGACGCTGCATCGGAATGCATTCAAAATTAGAAACTAGGGATGGTTCATTACTGTGCTGAGTCCTGTTGTTTAGTGCAGATGCAAGTTTACAGGGAGGTAAGCTGAAGAGTTAAATAAGCTTTAAGAAGCTCACAAGATAACGCAGCCCATCGGTCTGTAGGAACTGTCAGTCTTGTTGGCCAACAAGCTCAGAATTAACTGAAAACTTCTGTTCAGAAATATTTCCATTTGACTTAGTCTTTGTCCCCAGAGGTTTAACTGGAGCCCTGGAATATGAATAGCAGCTGTGAGGAGGAAGAGCTAGAACAGTCCTTATTTAGGTAATTTCCTAATAACCTCCCAGCTCCCTAAAAATAGTGCAAATAAAATGCTCCACTGTACCAGGCTGAGACTGAGCTGGGAAATGGGAGTTGCTGCATCAGATAGAATTCACTCTATTGTCTCATTCTGACACTGACACCAAAAAAGCATTTCCTATTTTTAGCTTAATATATAAAAGAACATTAAAGTTTCTGAGTAGGAATTATATATATATATAATTTGTTATTATATATATACATACATTTGTATATGTATGTATGTGTATATGTATATGTGTGTGTATGTATAATATCCGTTCGTTTGAATAGGAATGTGCATACAGATCTCTTAAAAAAACAGTGAAGGTCTCCACCTCTGCTTTAGATCAACGTTTAACATGTAGCTAGAGTAAAAATAGTTTTTAAAAGTCTGTGTGTAACTTGCTGTACCAGATTATCCAGGTAAATTTTGTACAGAGTGGCTGCTGCAGACAGAATGTCTTCTAAGATCTGTTTACTTTCTCTGATCTCCTCCAGCTCATTTACCTTACAGCACTTAAGGCAATTGCTTCCTGATGGAGGATCATCCTGCAGACTAGCCATCTCATCACCTTTCAGGTGCCATTATACTGTTCCTTCTTGACACCACCAAAAAATACTGTACAAGCTGGATGCTGTTTGTTTGTAAGCCTTGCTTAGTGATGCTGATGCTGGAGCAAATCTGCGTATATCCAGGAACAACAGTTATGCCATTCACAAATAGATGTGACTGGGCTGCAAAGAAAGACCTTTGTCCCCAGTGCATATGAAGATCCAGAGGACAATGAGGTAATAATCTCATATTAGTGGGCACCAAGAATCACTGACAGTCGGAAAGCTGCAGGGATGAAAAGAATATCTGATCTGTGGGAGACAGGTTTAATGGCTGAAAGCAGAGTGCGAAATTCGAGCTGTTTGTGTGGTCACAGCCTTCTCACATAACTTTGGGAAGGACAGTATTATTCTTCATCGGGTCCAGCCAAGAAGGAGTATGGCAAACCAGAAGATGAGAGAAAGTTCTGTTAGGATTGAATGAGATTTTACCACAGCTTTGGTTTCTTGTAGCATCAGTTTAAATAAGGTAAGAAAACAGGAAAGGAACTGATGCTGTCATGGTAATGCTGGTCCAGTAAGACGTGCTTCCTAGTTGAGAAAAGTTCTTATGGGTTCTTTTTCTTATTCTCAGGGATAAAAAAGCAGCATCACTTGGGTTGGAGGTGCACTGGTTACTGCCTTCTTAGCAGAACCCATCCTGATATGTAATTCATGTTTCCCTTTTCAGCCAAACTCATCCCAATGAAGTCCACATCATTTTTAGCATTTGAGCTGTACTCATTTCTCACTTCAGATTCCAATGATACGTAATTGCTTTTAAGTTCCTGAAACAACAGCTGCCTTTGTGTGTGAGCATGTTTAGGTGCTGCAGGAGATAGCAGAAGCCCACTGTGCTTTTACTTCAACCACACCTTCTAAATACTCTGCAGATTCAAATGTTTGTGTTGAAAACTCTTCCTGTTTTACAGGAGCTCTCAAAGAACAAGTAAAGTTCCTGTTCATGGAAAAAATCCTTTCAGCCCAACTTAAGATCTTTTCCTGGGCAGGGCATCCCTATTGTTTGCTTCCTGTAAAGTGGTGATTTCTGAGCTCACTGCTTGCTGTGCACGTTCATCCTCTGTGCAGGAATCAAAAGTGATGCCTGGTGTTGTGGAGTGGGTGGCCACACTGCTAAGAGGAGATGCTGCTTGATTTCCAGCTTTAACTAACTGCTGTGCCTCAGTTTGCTGAAACCCTGTCTGCAGCTGCTCCTGGCGCTTGAGGCCGGATGCAGAAACACTTTTCGTTACAATTTGTTCCAGAGGCTCAGTTGTACTTGAGTAAAAGTAGACTTTCTGCTTTGACTTGTATTGTCAGCGCTCATAACATCTGAGTTGGAAGCGTTTCCACTCGCTGTGTTTTTCCTAGGCTGGTATTTCTGTATGGATAATGTCTGTGTGGTAGTGCATTCTGTTGAAAGCTAATACCTTGCTAAGGTGGGACTGCTGTCCTGCACAGGTTGTGCTGTACTAATGTATTTTTTAGCTCAGATAACAAGGCCTTTATCTGCAAGAAAGATATTGAGGCCCTGGAACGTGTTCAAAGGAGGGCAACAAAGCTGGTGAGGGGTCTGGAACACAGGCCATATGAGGAGAGGCTGAAGGAGCTGGGAATGTTCAGCCTGGAGAAGAGGAGGCTCAGGGGAGACCTCATTGCTCTCTATAACTTCCTGAAGGGAGGTTGTAGTGAGCTGGGGGTCGGCCTCTTCTCTCGTGTCATTAGTGATAGGACCAGGGGGAATGGCTTCAAGCTACGGCAGGGGAGATTCAGGCTGGACATGAGGAAGTATTACTTTTCAGAAAGGGTGGTCAGGCACTGCAATGGATGCCCAGGGAGGTGGTGGAGTCACCGAGCCTGGGGGTGTTCAAGGAAAGGCTGGATGTTGTGTTGAGGGACATGGTTTAGTAGGAGCTATTGGGAATAGGTGAACGGTTGGACTGGATGATCTTTTAGGTCTTTTCCAACCTTGGTGATTCTATGATTCTATGATTTTGGGACTGATGGCTTACTCACCTGTGTGCAGCAGCACACAGTGTGAGCACTGCAGCAGCATGGTGGACAGTCTTAGCTGATGTTCATGAGCTGCTGCACTCAGCAAGATGATGGAGCGTTCGCTTGCACTAGATGAAAGATAAACTGCTTGTGAGTTGTTATTTTTATTTTGCTGTGGTCTCCAAGTAGGTATTCCCTGATACTTTCTTTGGGAGGGGAGGGTTGCTGCCTAGTGTGTGTTTGTCACATTGGCACAGGAGGGCTGGGGAGGTTTGTCTGCTTTGTGTTGGCTCCTCATCCCCAGAGTGTTCTGTAGTTCTTGCAGGTCTGTCTTCAGGTTGCTGACCTCAACCCTTAAGTTTTCAGGTACCAATTAATACAATGTGGCATGAACTTGCTTCCCATCAAGCTTGTCTGCTAACTCTTAATGTGTGCTTCAGCTGCACTAATGAGTAGCAGGAGGGTGGACAGTTCTTGACTTCATCTATGGCTGAAACTTTCTCAGAAGGCCCTGCCAGGACTTCAAGCCAGCTGCAATGGGAACGCACGTATGTCTTGTTCTGGTGTGCAGACTGTGCTTTGCTGATCTTTTTCTCATTTGCAGTGGTCAGTACTTGAGAAAGCATATACAAGGGCCATGTGACAACAAGGGTGTTGCTTTATCAGAATCAGGTGAATCTCTGCTCCTGAGAGGATTGTGAATACTGGATGTGCCAACGTTTCACTCCCAAAGAAATCTCAAACCTGTTTGAGGAATTGAGGGCTATAAATAAAGGCAGTAACTGAAGAAGACTGCCATAGCAACAGTCTAGAGGTGGGGACCCCAGTGCAGTACTTTCAGTATGGTACAGGGCTGTGCTGATGACAGGTCATCTGGGGACTTCGGAGGTAAGTAAATGTCAGTAGGATCAGGTGTATGGGGAGGAAAGGCTGTCAGGACTGATCAAGGAGGATTTAGCTTGGCTTTTCTGTAAATATTTTTTTTCTGCTTGCAATTTACTGCCACTTTCCCAGGCACCACCCTGAAGAGTTCATCTTAGGACATTCCCTCTTGGGTCTGGTGTATGGCAGATAGGGTCTAAAGAATATGTTTCAAGTGACAGGAATGCCTTTAACTCCTTGTAGCAGACTGTAGATCTGTATTTAGATATGGGAACATTTTCAATATTGCCTTGATAGGATCAGTCAGTGAAGAATAAAGTTTGTTTCTTTTCCTCAACTTCCCATGTGAGAAGATAAGATTTCTGGGTCAGTTTTAGCTTCCACTGTACATGCCAGCCTGTCCTGTACTGCAGGCTGCTTCTGCTCAGCTGCAGCCTGCCAACACCAGCTCTCCAGCAGTGGTTCTGATGCATGAGTCGAGGGAGCAGAAGCTGAGGTAGCTCTGAAGTAGGAAGAGTGGGAGAAAGGCAGTGCAAGTGATGCAGTGTTTTACCGAGTTTTACAGAACTTGGGAGAAGCAAAATCTGATGTGAAGTTGCAACTGGCAGCAAGTGACAGTATATTTGTCTCTTATCAGTCCTGTCTGTCTTTCCTGTAATAGCAAAAATGTTAACAATAAAGAGAGAGGACATGAAAGGCACTACTGAAGTCTTAGGTTCCTGCAGTGCATTTGTAAGGTAAAATTCCTAGGTGGGGTGAGCATGGTGTCAGTGAAGGCAAAACAAGCACAACTGTCCAGAAAGGACTTTTTTTCCTCCCTCTGAACCCTCTAAAAAAGTACGTGAGCAATTCATGCAAATCAGGCATCTGATAGATTTTATAATTAGTGTGTATCTGTTCTTCTGTCCTGCTCTCACTGCTCACAAATTGTATCCACTGAAAAATACCTGAACAAAAAGAAATCTAAAGCATGAATTGTCAAGGAAGGGAGTCCTCAGGGTGGGCTTGTGAAGTAACATCCTATCAAAGAATTAGGCAAATGTGTTCAGAAGGCATCTCTGCATGACTTCACTGGCACATGCTGAGATTTCTTCTTAAAAAGCTTTGATCTTGAATGTGAGGTGAGGAAGGCTGTTACTCTTTGCAGCTCTGTCTCATCAGTATGTTGCTCTGGTCAAAAGGTGCCAGCTGTTATTGCTTTCTCACTATTCCCAGACAAGACTCACAGTCGTATCACAGTAACAGCTGCAGGATGGGAGTCCTCCAGCATTGCTCAGCATGGCTGGTAGTGAGCAGGTAGAAGCGAGTGTGTGACCTGTGGGAGTCAGAGGTGCTGGAGGAGAGCTGCATTGCTGAAACACATCAGAACCACTGGCTTTTTTTCTCCTTCACTTTTTTCCCCAAAGCTGCTGACACTGTATATTACTTGAAGATTTTTTTTTTTTTTTTTTAATATTTTAAATACCAGAGACGACAAACTGAGTGTTATGGTGGAGTCACTTGAAGATAAATCAGTGAATACAGTTGTACAATCCAAACAGTTCCAAAACGAAATAGCAAGCAGTGTCAGCTCTGCCCTCTAGTGCACCAGCAGGGAAGAGGCTTTAGGAATGTGGGGGAAGGTGCAGGGATCACAGCAGTGCTGTCCTATATTGGGCTCAGCTGACTTCAAGTCATTTTAGAGGTTGTAGGTGAAGGTTTTCCTGTTCTTTAGCCTAGTGCTGTTTATAGTGATCTCATGGGATTTTGCTGTGAGACATTTCAAATCAACCTCAGCTTTGGTTGCTGATGTGGTGGTGGTTTTTTTTTGTTTGTTTGTTTGAACAAAGCAAAAGACCACCCGAAATTTCCTTACACATATATTTGTTATGATAAAAAAATTAGACTAAAGGAAGATTGTGATTTATAATGATCTGAAACTTCCTTTCCACAGCATCGAAGGCGAGTACGTCCCTGTGTCAGGGGACGAGGTCACCTACAAGGTGTGCACCATCCCACCAAAGAACGAGAAGCTTCAGGCCGTGGAGGTGGTCATCACCCACCTGGCCCCAGGCACCAAGCACGAGACCTGGTCGGGACATGTCATCAGCTCCTGAAGTTGCCCAGGGGATGCTGTGTGCGTGGGTCACTGCTCAGCGCCTGCCATCAGGGAACCTGACCTAAGAATAGTCTGCAAATGGTGCGGGAGGAAATACTGCATTGTCAATAAAAGCAGAAGTAGGCCAAAATTACCATCTTTACAGCAGGCCTGATTTAACAAAGGAGAAAAAAAAGGCAATCCAGATGCTAATGAAATGAAAAATTATGTCTTTATTAATGTGTTTACAAAAATGTATTTTATAGAGATGTAGTTTGTGTGCTTTGAGGGGTTGGATTTTTTTTTTTCCTTTATTTTGAACCAATTCCAGTCCCTCAGGGGACTCGGGGAGCCTTGAAGGAGAGCCCTTGCAGCACAGCCAGCTGTAGCAGATGCACAGGTGCAAGGCCCCGTGGGTGCATGAGCACTGTGGTCCCTTGAGCTGTGCTTCTGCAGGTGTCAGAGTACACTTACTGCTGGTAGCAGTGCCTCACTGCCTTGACATGAAAGTGAGCAAGCTGCTTCGTGCTGCAATTTGTTTTCCTTGTGGAAGAAAGATCACAAACTGCTGCACAGTGGAAAATCTCCATCTGGTGGTTATGCTCTGATGGCCTTCAGGTGCAGCATTTGCAAACATGTCTGTGTATGTGTGGAATATTGTGTGTTTTTTCTAAAAAAAAAGCCTGGATTGTTCATGAATTTACTTTGGTGCCTTGATGGTTGATTAGCAACAGATTTTATAGGCCAGTATTACTTAAAAAAAAATAAAATAAAAATTGCTTCAAGGTAAGTGGGTAGAAAGCTGTAGAGTAGCTTCAAAGCTTCTGGCTGTGTCTGAATTGAGACTACCTTCTTGACTGCATATAGCTGATAAATGTCTGCTGTGGTGTTTCACTGGCAGGCAGGCGAAGTAACTTCTGAAAAGCAGGTTGGGTGCTGTTGAGCTCACTGTGTACTGAAGTACTGTGAGGGTTACTTAGTAGACTCGCCTCTGGGTGGAGTAGATTCTGCAGCTGTGTTTTTTAGAAGACTTTCTTGATAGGCTGTGCTCTGGCCACCCTTGCCTCAGCTCTCTTCTCTGCCTGCGAGGTTGCATATAGTTGAAGTAATGTGACTATGCTGTTCCCGTTTGCCTTCCGTACCCTTTTTCAAATGAGGCATTTTTTCCTCTTTTCTTTCCTAACAGTGGATTTTTATTGACTTTGCACTTAAAAAAGAATAAAAATAGAAAAAGATTGCACGATACTCTTCTGTTAGCTCCATGACGCGGTGTAACTTCAGTTGCCTGTTTGCAGTTTTTCCAAGAGGCTCTCGCTGTCATGAAATGTCTCAGGACTCTCACAGCAGAGATCTGTTCCAAGGTCTGACCTGGGGAGAGAGCTCAGCTGTACGAAGGTCAGTAACTGCTGTGATGGCTTGTTTTACTTTAAGCTGTATTACACCATAGTGTGCTGTAATGACCGGCCTGCAGCGGCTTTTTGTTTTTAACCACGACTAAGTAATGGTAGGTTTGACACTATCTAGCTTGTGGAGTATTGCATATTGCTTTCTTTACAATAAATGCAGCTGTTATAGTGCTGTAATATGTCTTCAGTCTGATCTCTACGTAATCTGAGTTGAAGTTCTTTGAACAGAGGACACTGCAGTGTCTGCATACGCATGCTGTTAAGATGATATGCATTACCAGAAGTAGAAAGTAATTTACCATGTTTCCTAGCTGCATAATCAATTAGTGTACAAGATTTTATATTTCTATCAAGACATTATTTTCATTATATAATATTCAGTACCAGCTGTTCATGTTAACCTGCACTGGGGGGAACAGGGAGGACGGCCTGGCTGTACCAGCTGAAGCTGGGAGACCAAGGCATTGTAGAAAGGGCTCCCAGCAGTCAGCATTCAAAACTCCTGCAGGAAAACTTCAGCCAGGCTTCAGGGGCTCTTTCTCTCAGTTTGTTTCTCATCTGGTGGCATGAGGCAGATGATGACCTATTGGCAGTGGCAGTACGTGCAACAAACCTGGTTTTGGTCCTTCACAGGGTGTTTTGCATAGGTTTTTGCAAACAGGAAACAACTGTGAAGTAATGCAATAGCTAGCTGCATCACATTTGTGTACATACAAAGCAGCAGCTATTAGGCTGTGGTTCTCTTTAGAGACATTTCTCATAATACTAATGGGTCTGGTCCAGCATCTGCTTTCATTAAAATGGTCAAGCCTGAATTACATTATGGAAGTGTGCATATGAGAAGTGGATTAGGCTAGAACTTTCCAATGAGAGCATCACAGCATCCACCATCTCTTTTGCAAGCCCTTTGAACTTAATGCTTCTTTTTATTTCTTTTTAAGCTTTGAACAATCATGCAAAACTGAAATGGGAAGCATTAAATTAAGTAACTTTGTTGTACATACAGGAAACACAGAACAGATCTGCTTAAAATAATTTATTTGCCAAGATGACAGTGTTAGAATTTTTTCATGATGAGATTTTTATTCTCTTTCTCCCAACTAAACCATTCCCAGAAGAGATTAATTTCCAAATGCCAGATAGGAGAAGTAGTATTAACAGTTACTCTGATTGCCATGCTTCAATGTCAATTTTAATAGAAATATCTATCATTTATTGTAGCACTAAAAAAATCTCACGTACCCATATTCTTACCAGGAATAGTGTAATAAGTGACAAAACCGTATTCTGTTGCTGCACTCATGTTGTTTTAGCATTGGGTTTCCTTTTTTTCCACGGTAGATTTAAAATAGTCTGCAAAAAGCAGAGGGTCCATTAGCTGTACCTGCAGCTGGCAGTGCAGGCTGTGCTGAGGAGGCAACGAGCATCAGGTGGCCCAGCCCTCCCAGTGCTGACAGGCCCCACGCTGCTGACTGTGCCCTAAAACATGAGAAAGCTCAGGGACTTCAGGCTCAGTTCTGCCTTCCCACCCCCAGGAAAAAAAAATAAATAGTACAACATATCTTTTACTCTGGTGTCTTAAAATTCGTGTCTTCATAGCACAAGGTTATTTATACATGTTTTTAAAAAGCCTTCACAATGTTTATTTTTAAATAGCAGCTTCAAAGCCAAAACAAGGCATAAAAGCCTTGCAGGCCAACTTTAAGGCCATAAATCATCAACAGGCAGATTAATGGGGGGGACGAGGGGGGAGTACAGTGTAATTAATTAGAAAAGTTAGTTTAAAGTGAGGGAAAGAAGGAAAAAACAAGACAAAAAACTAAGTTCATTTTTCCCTGCACAGACTTACAAAACATGCTGTCAGGTGTATCTGAAACAATGCAACAATGTAACAGCATCACCCCTTTATTTTCCAGTAGCTCCTGTGACTTCAAGCACAGAGAGGTGAGGAATGAAGTTCTGCAGGTTAACCTGGCCAGAAATGTCTAGTTTTCTGAGTGAAATTAATTAGTGTTCCCAAAGTAATGCTCCATGGGGAAACACATGAGACACAGTGAAGTCACTTGGGCTGATGACTTTAAAAAAACAAGCAAACAAATAAAAAGAACAAAACCACAACTAACCAAAAAGTACTTCTGCTAATAGAAACTGTGGAAGGATGGTCCTTAAATGAGCTCTGCTCTATTAACCAGTCACCAAGGTTCTCTTGAGTTAAAACCCTTCCCTTTACACCTGCAAAGCACTGAGTATTTATGACCAATTACAAAAGCAACACAGGATGAAATGGTTTGAATTATTAAGCTGCCTTAACCATATGGTAAATGTGAAGTCTAAAAGAAAGTCTTTAATTAAAAAACAGCTCTTCACAGATTCTTCTTGTGTCCTGCGGGGACGTAACGCTGTGGCCTTCAGTTCTGGAGTCTGTGAAAATTTCATAATCGTTCCCACCCTGAAAAGAGAAAAGGTAAAAAGCAGAAGAGGATTTACTTAACATCATTTAACTTACTGTACAGTCGTAGTCTTGGGGGTGGAGAAAGAGTTTACATAGAAAATCCTGAGAAGAATATCCATTTTGCTCCAACTTAGAACGTTGCTAACAAATGACCACCAGGACACTATTAAAACTGCCTATTGTCAAGCTGAAGTGCAGGCTTGGTGTAACCAGTGCTTGTTACTAAGGTATCTACGTTTGGAACTGGTTACTGGTCAGAGAATACTGAGGAAAGGATTATAATTCCTGAAAGTAGCCAGCAGCAGCCCCGCATCTTTCTTGTAAATGTAAAAGCAAGTAGCACAACTGAACAGAACTTGCAGGCAAGATCTATTTGAAGTTTCAGACACCCTATTTATATTAATTTTTGAGAGACAGCAACTCTCAAAACATGCATATATACATGTATCTGTTCTAAATGCAATTCTTGTCAGGCATAAGGCAGTTGTCAGGAACCTACAGTACTTGCAGTTTAAAATAGCAGCCCTGAAACACGCACACAAAACAATATACTCACTGGCATAGTCTTATCTCCAAAGAAATAAATAGTCTTGTACCCATCTTCTGCAATGATTCCTAAGCAGTACCTCTTGTCCCAGCCATCTGGGAACACATCAAAGCTTATCTGGCCTCCTAAGAGAGACATGAAAGCTCTGTTATATTATAAGAACACATTTCTGACAACTGAGAAAGAACAAAACGGAGTACGACTTTTAGTAGAGGAAATTGTCAGACCCTGGACCTACTTCTTAACAGCACAGAAAATGTCCCAGAAGCTATGAGTTACTGTGATTGAGCAGAAATGCTAAGTCATGGCCTGAACCAGTGATTGAGCACCTGGTGGGAAGGCAGGGCCAACCCAGGGGAGCTCAGGTGCAGGCAATATACTGAGTAACAGAAGGGCTGGAGCCAGGATCCACCCCTTCCCAGACCTCATTTAAGGGCTGGCAGTGAAGATGAGAGTATCTCACTGGAGATCCCTGTACACCAGAGGCCTTCTGAAGATAAGCAGCTCTTTCCTTTGTTTCTGTGCCTGTTGCATTTGAGCAAGTCCTCACTTACTGCAGCCCGGGACCTTGCGACTGTGCTGTCACTGCTGTGCTTTCCATCATGTTACAGTGATTTTTCTGACTGTTTACCACTGAACAACTGTGAAAGTCTTGTAAGTTCCCAAATGCTACTGGATCTCAATTTGAGTATTTGACTAAATTTAACTCATCCTCAGTGTGGATGCTTCATATGGACATTGTTGTCTTGATACAAATAAGTCTTTCAGAACAGAAAGAGGACTAAACCAGCCCTTGGAATGCACCCTAATGGGACAGCTGTTCTTACCAACAGTATTGAGATCAGATCTGCATTTTTTTTTAGTGTCAGAGAGTAGGATAAACTGTCTCAGTCCCAAATTTGTGGACTTTACCAATACACAAATGTGCTTCCCAGTTCAAGGAGGTGCCAGAAACGTATTTACAGCAAGCTGCAGCAGGGTGTTTCATTTGTGCCTCAGTGTTTCAGCACACAGCAGTAATGGCACCCATAGCTTTTTATAACTGAGAAAAAGGCAAGAATTACTGTAATACAGTAGCAGGGAAAGGAAGAAATATATGTGGAAAATTAAGCCCCCCTTATTATCATCACTTCTTTCATTAAAAATAAAAAAAAGTCAAAGTTTAAAAATGAGCAGAATCAGTCACAGGTAACATTAAAATATACTGAACTGATGATAAGAAACGAAGTTCCCTTTGGTAAAATGTTCCAAATGAAAGCCATGGGGAGGGGGGGGAGGAGGAGAGAAGGGGTGGGGAGAGCAGGTTGATTTGCATGCAATGGGAGGATGGTGTTTCAAATGGAATTATTTCAAATGTGATACCTATAGAAAATGTGAGGCCTTTTCCTGCAAATTCTCTTCGTAAATCAGCTACAAATTTTTCTCTTATATGCTCCTTCTGTTTAAAAAAAAAGAAAAAAAAAAGAAAAAAGAAAAACAGAAGAGATCAGCTACGTGCTGTGTTAATTCAGCAATAAAAATTCAGCAAAAAAACCCCCCACAAAACGTCCAAAGCTTTGGGTACCAGGACTGCTTTAAAAGGCTTGAAAGAGTGGGAAAGGAGGAGCTGAGCAGGATGGATATACTAAAGAGCACTGCAGATAAAGAAAGAAACGTGAGCCAAGCCTGCCCCTTACCCAAGTAATCAGTTAATTATTCCACAAAAAACCAAACTACTGTATCTATTTCCTGAGGTCTGAAGAAAGAAATTAGTTAAACAAACCAGCATCATACTTTTCCAGTATTTCATTTTAGAGGATTTTTTTTTTAAAGCAATTTCTGGCTGTTGCTGCTTCTGCCAGAACTCGGATATTTTTCGAGAGCTGTGCCTCACCTTATCGAGTTCATAGAACTCAATTCGTTCTTCCTGGCTACAGCTTCTGCCAATGGGGGACACATTTAACATCCCATTTCGGAATTCAATAAAAGTCCCCCTGAAAGAGAATTAACAAGGCAGGAAACAGATGAAACAATGTTCAAAATACCGAAAGCAACAATCAGGCTTTCTTTAATTCTAAAGACAGTGGGAATCAGATGTATCCTTCAGCACCGCCTTGTATCTAAAAAATGGGTAGAAAGAAGTAGTGCTGACACCAAGGTGTCTGCAGGACTTGTATTTTATGAATGGTAAGTGGATGATGTGGTTTTAAAAGCATGACTGAAGTCCCGTCAGTGTGACTATCCGGCCCTAGCAGCTGTTCTGCCTGCTTTTGGATGGAATTTTGAGATCGTGCGAATCTTGGCGATGTTTCTGGCTGGTCTGAAGTTGTGTTTGTTCTTTCCTATGGTGTCTGCTTTGCACATTTATGCTCAACACTCTTAGATGGTGCCTTGAGATGCATCTATGCACATACCTTTTTTTTGGCAGTTTAATCTTGGCAATGTAACTCAGGCAGTAGTTGATAAGATCTTGCAGCACATCCTCACCCAGGTGACCCTGAATGTTCTAAACAAAATAAATGCCCATTTAACCAAGTATCCAGAACTGGAGCTCCTCAAAACAGTTTACATGGAGAACACAGCTGCTGGATAATCAGTTGATGTTACAACAGAGTGATGGCCTTTCCATAAGCACCTCTCCATTAATGCCCAGGTGATACTAATTAAAGGCTCCCACTTTTTTTTTTCTGAACCATGAAACCAAACTCTCATTTAAATGTTCCCTTTAAATATGTGAGCTAAAACGAAACCACAACAGGCAGGACACTGGAAACAAACGTTGCATTAATAGCTGTTGCAGTCTCACCCCTACCTGCTTGCTGAAGAACTTCCCATCTTTGTATGCCACGAGGCCATTCTCCGGAAACACGTAGTCAAACTTTTCAACCACTGCAACCAAACAGAAAGACGGCAATAGCAGGAACTGCCCGCGTGTTTAAACGTGCAGTTCCCTTAAGCGTTACGTAGCTTAAAGCATCGAACAGGACTGCAGTCCGTGCTTTCCTCACGCAGCCATCCGGCCCTTACCGTCATCGCCGAGCTGCTCCTTGATCTTCTCGAAATCGGAACCGCCGACAACGCCCACCTTCACCTTCTGACGCAACCTCTGCAAGAACTCCGCCATTTCCGCCGTGATTTTCTACGGTCCAAAATGAGACGGTGCACAGACGTCACCATTCCATGGAGTTGCAGGGGCTCGCCGCCGCAGCCCCGTGCACAGCTATGGGCACAGACCGACAGCCCCGTGCACAGCCGCGGGCACAGCTGGGGGAAAGCAGCCCCGACCGCCCCGTGCACAGGCGCTGCCCCCCTTGGCCCCAGCACGGCCCGGCCCGCCTCGGGGAGCAGCGCGCAGCCCTGAGCGCCCCCCCGCCTCCACTCGCCTGCCGCGGCGCCGTGAGGGTCCCGTCCACGTCGAAGAGGCACAGCGCCCCGCGCTGCGGAGGCGCCATAGCGGCTGGGAGCGGCGGCACCGCGCGGTGCCTGCCGGGAAGGGGCGGTGTCGTGCCGGCGGCGGCGTGGCCGTGCTCACGGACGGCGGGGCCATGGCGATGGTGAGCGCGGCGTGGCGTGGCGTGGGGAGAGGCCGCCCTGCTTGGGGTCCGGCCCGGGGTCCTCGTTTGGGCGCGGCGGTCGCCTCAGCGGGGAAGGGAGGAGTGCCGTGTCGGGAAAGCCACGTGTCTCGGTGCGCCGGGACCGAGAGCGTGCGGGGAGGTCGGGCCCGGCGAGGTGGTTCTTGGTCGCCTGCGCCGGAACCTCGTGTCCTAAGGGCTCCATCCGCGGGAGCCCCGCCCCGCGCTGCTGTTGGATTCTGTTATGAATGGGGCCCGTATTTCCCTGCGATTTTTCTGAGGTTTCCGTTATTTAACGCGTTCGCCGCCCCGCGTGCCGTGTGAGAGCCGTGCTCGGTGCTTTTTTCCGCGCTGCTTTTTTCCGCTTTTTTCCGCAACAAACAATGGAGACCGATGCCGTCATTTCGCTGTGCCCGCAGGTGCGGCTGTGCTGCGTTATGAGCGGCGGCCCGGCTCCGTCCTTGGGGAAATTCCTGCGCTGGGAGTTGCGGAGGACGGCGTGGACGAAGGAAGCTGCCGGCCCGCCCCGCTCGCTCGGTACGTCTGTGTGTCTGCGGTCTCACTGTGCTCCTCCTGACGTGGCCCCGCAGAAGGCTGGAGATGGGAAAAGCGAGGAGTTCGACGTGGTGTACCGGTTCCCGGGCATCAAGTACTGCCGCGTGCTGTCCAGGCTGAAGCTGCTGCAGACCGCGACCACCCTGCTGGTGCTGCCGCCCGTCTGTTACCTGCACCTGCAGCAGCAGCTGCCCCAGGCCGTGCTGCTCTACACGGCCGGCATCGCACTCTTTGCTGGAGTGATGCTGTACGGGATGAGCTATTTTTTCCGACGAATTATCGGATTGATCTACTTAAGTCGATCAGGAAGAACTGTCAAAGTGGCCCACTTGACGTTCTGGGGGAGGCGCAATGATATTTGCTGTCCCATGGAGAAGGTGATGACTTTGGATGAGGTCGGGGATGCCAGAGGGGAGCTGCTGCTGCGGTTCAGGCGCTATGACAGCACAGAGATCTTGTATTTCACGATCAAATACGGCCAGATTGTGGACAGACAGAAGTTTCTGCAAATATTTGGAGAGCTGCAGTGATGGGGCAGCAGAGTGCTGCTGGTGTTGCTTGTTGCGTTGTTACCTGTGTGGATTCTTGCGTGACGGCTGTCTGTATACAGACATTTGTGGAGGCAGCTCTTTGTAGGAATTTATTTGATATGCTCTGATGATTGGGTGTAGGCACACTAGGAGTAAAATGAAGAGCCTCGGAGAAGTCCAATTATAAATATTTTATTTAAGAATACTGATTACACGAGACGTCATTCCGTTATGAATTTGTGTACAATTACTAGTTCCACCATGAAGTGTACTTAAGTATTGGTTTAAACATTTATTTGGCACTGTCCACGGTATGCTGTAAACAATATTAACTTCATGTGCTTCAGCTGCAGTGCTTTCTATGTGTTCTCTAACGTGATCTCGTCGGCACGTTGTACACAATTTTACAGTTAGTGAGTGTCGGTAAAAATTATAAAAACATCTAGAGTGCTCATCATAAAAGAGAAGATGTGCTAAGACTTCAACTTACTGGACCGTTGTTTCTGTAAAAGCACAAGACTTGCTAGGAGGCTAAAACTACTGTACTGATATGTCAAACTACCTAATTCCCAGAATGTGGTCAAACGCAGTTCTCAGTTTGACTTTCCTGTCGGTGATAAAACTCTTATGAGGACAGTGATCACAGCAGCCCCCCAGACCCTTCTCCAGATTTCAACCACCTCTGTTCGAAAACCTGCTCAGAGTCTGACCGGCTGGTACAGGAATTCTGGTTGCTGCAGGGAGATTTATAGAAATCCCATTATTTTTAAGCTAATGGAAGAGAGTTTTGTTGAGTTGTCCAATACCAGAACTCAATAAAGAAAATGGGAAAACCACGATTAAAACTTAGCAAGGTAAGAAACCTTTCACAGCTTGGCAGCACTTTTTTAAGCACAATTTTAAGTATAAATCCTTTTCACTGCGCTGTCTTTACTGTATAACTAAAGACTTGCTAATGGGGCGACTGTAGTGTCAAATGTGGTCCCTTTTTTTTGGCGCTTAACATAAAAAAAGTTCAACCTGGTAAGGAAAAGCCAGGCGCCAAGAAAACGAACTGGAAAACGTATCAGAACTAATTTGGATCATCCTGAAGCAAACAGCAAAGAGTTCACAGTAAAGAGATGTCCAGAACAACTACAACACAACAGAGCGTTGACATGTTTTGATTCTGTGGCTTTCCAGAAGACCTCTGTAAACTATTAGAGCAGAAATACGTTGCAGCTGGGACTATTCACTGCTGCTGTGCGTCCACACGACAGTGGCTCTCGTGTTGCACAGTCAAGCAATTCTGCTGTAGTTTTACAAGACTGTCAAGTAGCAAAGTAGAACTCGTAACAGCTAAAGTTAATGGCTGTCATGGTGCCTTCTGGGCAAATGGGAAAATAATCCTAACTATAAGATCACTGACAGAGGTGGAAATGATGTGCTGAGCACGATTCTCTAAGCTTTGTCAAATTAGAAACGTTTCAGTATAGCTTTTTCTGTACAGTTCTGATTGTAAGAGAAGGCAAAAGTTTAAACCTCTAGGGCAAGGACAGTGATTCAGTTCTGCTCAGCCTCGCACACGTGGCTGTGCATTACGCCTCTGAAGTGGTACCTGTAGGCTGATGGATGAGTAGAGCAGTTCTGTGATCCACATGGTATGGCAGACCAGTGATTAGGGGAATAAAGCTGGCAATTATTCTGTTAAATACTGTACTTGGCAGCGGTGGAAAGCAGAGCTTTCCTTGAAATGCCTTTTATTCTGTCTGTCATTAGAGTGGCTCTTTCTGCATAGCAGGCATTCGTAAGTGCATTTAAGTGTTAGGCCTTACTTGCTGCTGCTTCTGGACACAAGTAAAACTGCTGGGATTATCTGTGAAGATGGACTGTTCCAGGTCCTACTGAGACAAATCAAGCAGTCAGGGCCGCAGGCGGAGGGAGAGCTCTGCCGTTTGTGCGGCCTGCAGATGGAGGGCTGCAGCCTCGAGGGGCGCAGCGCAGGAGCACTGCGGGCACCTGCTGGCGAGCAGAACCAGGGCTCTGCCTGTGCTATTTTGCATGGAGCAGCTTGCCTGGGGCAGGATTACAGACGGAACGCAAACCTCGGTTTATGACTTTACACTTATCTTGTAAGTGGAGAAGACGTGAATTAATGCAAACTACTTTCGTAATCAGTTAGTTGTTCCGTGCGAGAGAACTGCTTTTTACTTGAAGTTTGCCAAGATGTCGCTGAAAATGTTCAGAAAGAGGTGAGCGTGGTGGTCCTTGAAGATCAGTGTTGGACGGAAACGGATCGATCTGTCACCGCAGCCTCCCAGCACAACACCTGCGGGAAGAACACTCCTTCAGTCATCACTGCCCGACATCCAGCAAATGCAGGTCGTGCCTCACTGAGGAGGGTCAGTAAAAGCTTCCCCCCGCTCACTGCTAGTCCTACAACCACAAAGCACAGCAGCAGTAATGCAGAGGCCTCTGGCTTCACAGCAACTCGAAAGAACACTCTGTGAAACGCTTGAGATGTCGGAACAGCTCCCTGCAGCACGGCACTCCAAACCATGGCTGGAAAGCTGCAGTGCTCTATGGGTTAAGTGTCTCCGTCATGAAACTAACAGGCTTCTTTACACTTTTGTTTTTAAACAACTTTGTTTTTAATGATAAAAATGTTAGATATCTCAGTGCTGGCAGTGCTGCACTACTTTAAGTACACGGTATTTTTTTTTTTTTAAAGGTTGCGGCCCATGAAAACCTGTTCTGTTGAGCTGAGCTTTCCTCGCCTCCAAGCACAGCCTTGGTGCGCCGTGAAGCAAATGGCTTACCTTTTCTCCCTGCTGGCTTTCAAAAACAAAACATATCAATGTCTTACCAGTGGCTAGATGTACCGTACGGGCTTCTTTCAAGATACGTGAGCTACAGCAAAAACAGCTGCAAACCGAGGGCCCGCAGTTAAACGCAAAGATGGGCTTCAGATCACGAGGTTCCCCGCCTAAAACCTGGGCTTGCCTACAGCTGGGTGAAGTTCTGCACTAACAGAAGCATGTAGCTGTACATCCATGCCTGCTTTAGGCAACTCAATGTATATTTTATTCTGAGGTATTCTGTAGAATTTCTATTCTCCCTGAGTTTTCCTGTGTGACAGTTATGTTAACATTAATTTTACTGATGCATTTCTAGAAGTGAGCCTCATCTGGATCCACCTTTGTTCACAGCTGAGGAATACTGAAGTGAGGTTCTAAAAACAATGCTCTGCACAGGTCTCCCTAAGTAGCATCAGACCTGAGGAGGCAGTAATTGTGCACCTATGTGCAACTGACTCGTTCAGATAAATACTTAAAAGAGATAGGTCTACTCCCAGAGAAGCCTCCATAGGGTTTGTTTGTAATTCACTTTTGTCTTTGGATATTTTCGTATGCATGCATGAGATAAAAGAAAAAACTCGAAGCATTACACACATCCTGCCGTTTGCCACTTGAAACTTCATCCGCGCATAAACTTCCTTACCTTTGTTTCTTGCAATTGTAATTAACTTGTTTCTAGTTGCATCATTTGGAGTGTCAAACGAACAGAACGTTCCTCTTCCTCTCGCTCTGCTGATAAGATGGGGGTAGCGAGCCTGCAGAGAGTGAAGGACGTATGCACGGCAGCTCATATCCCCTCACTCTGTTCCCTCCCAGCTCCTCCAGCCCTTTGCTGAGAATGGCTTCAGCTCTGTACAACACTGCTTAGCAGCAGCTGTAAATATTGATGTCTTTTTAACATTGTATTTCTCCTAGAACCAAAAATGTGGCATCACAGCCTCACGTATTTTGGAGGTCACCCTTCACTTTGGATTAAGCTCTATAAAAACTACATTAAGTCATTAAAGGAAAGTTTACTTGAGCTGTAACCAGGACGCGTTTGCTCAGGCTTACACTGAAGTCTCTGCACCACTGTGTTACCATCACAGTGTGCTGCCCAGCTGGAGTTCCTCAGTCCGCATATTAGAAACTGGATGAGGTCAGACCCTAGCTGTTCTGTGAATTTCTCCTCCTTATCTACAGATAACCCTTAAAAATGCTTACCTGTAAATCCAGAAGGCCAGTCAGTAGTGCTTTTCCTGCATGGGCTGCGTTGTTTATAAGGTCTTCTCTTTTAATAACCCTAATGACTTCGGCAAGCATAAGGTTCTTGGATGGATCTCCAAGCCAGGTGTTAAAAATCCGATAGGGCTTGGGAAAGAGTGGAAAGAGAGTTGTGCAACAAGTGAACAGGCAAGTCACTTAATAGTCACTAATAATAAAGCAAGCAAGCCAGCACACTGATCACGTACGGTACATGAAAAAGCATGCACTAATCTCATAAAGTCCCCTAAGCTGCCTGCTCAGCATAAAGAAAGAGCTACTACTTTATGCTGTGAATTTAGCATGTTTTGTTTTGCTGCTCAGTCAAGTCACAGAAACAAGGCTACAGAATATGTTGAATTCAGTGTTGTTGTCTGTATGCGTTTGGCATTCAAGCTTTACCTTCTTTGTTAATTTAGTTTTTTTCATTTCATTTTCATTTAAAGTGGTATTACTATGAAGAGTAAGTCTGGATAACAGAGTTTGCACTGCTTGCATAAAAGCTCTGAAAATGCCAAGCCCTTCAGAAAAAGGTGCTGCTTTTGAACCAAAGTTCATTAGCCTGCACCCAGTTCTCTGCTCTCTCCCGTCAGTGCTGTGAGTGACTGGCAGCAATCAGAATAACGGAGTGAAAGTAAAGATGTCTCCTATAAGCACGAGGCAAGCGTCTCTGGGACAGCAGCTGAACCTGCAGCACCAATGAAAGCTTGTCTCTTCCACAGACGTGTCAGGTGCTCATAAGGGATCTTGGCAATTAGCACAAAGTTTCATTGAAAGTCTTACAGCATTTGGCCTGAACTCCTCTTTGTGGAAAAATCCTCCCGTCATCATCTTCTTACTGAACGTTACGACATCGGCTGGATCATCCAGGCCCCAGTGCTCGTGTGCCCAGAATTTTCCTGTGCAGCCACCTCCTGTCTGCACCTCATCCACCAAGAACGCACAGCCATGCTGCAGAGATTTAAGAGAAAAGCACAGGAGTCAGCATTTCCAAAATAAAAATACCTCCCTCAATGAATAGATGCATACAAGCCAATGACATTATGTTTCTCCTTCCTCTGCCCTCACTGCTTCAAATCTCGTCTTCAACCTGAAACCAGTGCTGTTGTATTTCCTAGCCAGACTTTCAACTCACGGTGCGTTGGATTTCACAATTATTCACCTATTCTCTGTGAGCACACAAAAGCTTCTCCCATAGATGTCTGAGGGGAACAAAAAGCATGAAGTAGGTCTTACTGAAGGCCAGTACTTACCGAAGGCTTCTAAATACATAACTGCTGTGTTCCGGTTATGAAGGCATCTATCTTTATCCTTGTTTTCTTGGAACATCTGTCCTTATCCGTGGATTTGATTTGTTTTTAACTTCAACATAAGTAGAAACGCAAGTATGCCAGCCATACCCAAACCACCTGTTCTAAAGTTGTTTAAACCCCTCAACAATTGAGGAGTCCACCAACTGTGTGCCCAGTGTAAGAGACGACGCTGTGCTGACCATAGGAGTTGTTTGTATGGATACGTGTACGTAACTAGCCCAGCTGCTAATGAAGAGGCTTGTGACATTCCAGGGAGAGGAAGGCCTCTGGAGACAGGAACAAACGATGCACGTTTAGCTGCTGCTGTGCGAGCAGTGAAACCCTTGATTACCTTTCTGGCGATATCTCGTAGCTTTCTGAAGAAGTCATCTGAGGCATGGTTGTCTCCACCCTCTGACTGTATTGGTTCTATAATGATTCCAGCCACAATCTTCTTTTTTTTCCTGTACTTGACAATCAGATCTTCCACCTGCAAATCAATTCATGTTACATTTTCTTCTCATGACCTTCTCGTATTTCTTCCCAGAAAGGTTAAAGCTCAGCACCAGCACTTCAACCTTTTATAGCCATTCCTGGCTATAAAAGTTCTGGCAGGAACCACAAGAAATCTGTAAGTATCTGGGATTTAACTGCCTTCTTGTTCGTAATTTTTGGTGAAGTTCAAACCACAGTCTGAACCAAACTGTAAGCAAGTTGTTTAATTCTCCACAGTGTAAAAAGTACAGCAAATTTCAGCTGAAAGTATTGTTGAAACCGCTACAGTTTGCTCTGCTGTTGCTGCCATTCCATCTCAGATTTAAAACATGTAGCACAGAACAAATCTCATCTGACGCATGAATGAAGGCAATCTCCTAAATTCACATTTTTTGTTCACTTTGCGCGCTTTTAAGTTTATCTGATGAAGCACTGCAGAAATTCTGTTGCTGATAAGGGGCTTACAGAGGAGTTTTAATTAACCTTGTACAGCCAGTCATTAGGATTATTGGTGTCAGTTGTACTTCAAATATCCCTTCACACCTTCCAGGACCCACAGCCTCTGTAGGCTGCATAAAGCAGTTCTTTCCCAAGAGTGCCAGTAAGCAACTTCAAAGACTTCCAAGAGAGCATTCAGCTTGCTTTTTTTTTTTTTTTTTTCTTTTTAATATGGCTGAATTTTGTGGCTTTATATAAAAAGACACAAAAAAAAAACCACCCCAAATAAGCTACTATCACAGGGCAGCAATTGGCTATGCTTCCAGTTTCCCCTCCTGTGCTCAGGAAGGCACGCAATGTGCCTGCTCCTTCCCTGCAGCTGTCAGAGGATCTTTTTTTTTTTATGTCTTTTTTTTTAATGCACAAAGACTAACACAGAAAAGCTGAACAAACTGAAATACTGGTACAGGTCTTCTGTGCAAAGCGTTACACACACCACGCTCTCTTTCCAAAATCTGGCAGACCAGTTCATCTGGACTTAAGGAGCTGCTTCTGCACCTGAACTTTCGGGTTGGTACAACGCAATGACAGCAGACTGGCTGCTCTTGTGTAAAGCAGGGCCAAACTGCTAACTGTAAACAACAGTGAATGCTGTTTTAATCACAAGCTGTTCCAATCCCCGAAAACATTCCTTTAGTGAAAAACAACTAAACCTACTAACACCATTCATCGTTTCCAAACAAAATTAACAGAAAGCTGCCAGTGAATTTGTTACCTCCTCTAAACAACGGGCTTCTTCCTGTTGATTCTCTTTCACAAACTCTTCCAGAGGGTACTTTAGTCTTGGAAATGGAGCGATAGGCCAGTCCAGCGAGGGGATGTCCAGTTTGTGAATTGCTTTAGAGTGAGTTGTAGCTAAGCAACCTAAGCCCAAAATAACAAGAATTAGAGTGATATCTGACATGGAACTGTACAGGAAAAAAGCTACAAGAGGTGAAAAATTGCTTGACGTCAGGACTTTCTGAATTGCTCCATGTTTTCCTTTCCTGAAATACTGAGTAATAGGATTTATTCAAGGCAGAGTGCGGTACCTCTAAGCATCCATTTCCATATGCACTGTTCCAGAAGGACAGGAGGACCTCTGTCACTGAACAGCAGTGCTGGGTAGACGGGTTTCACTCAGTGGAAGAAAATCAGCCATGGAGCTCTGAATTACAGTCCTAATGAGAGGCTAATGAGTTTGTGTCTGGGACTGAGCTGATATAAAATGTTAACCAGGAGTGTCAGCTTTTTGTGCTGTGGCAATTTCACCCCAGGAGCTAGATTGCTAGTACATGTAGGAAACCCTGAATTCAAAAATAAGGGATTTCATATTCAGAAGATTTGAGATTAAATCCCACTGTCACTTGAGGATGGTTTCAGTACTGGAGGGGCTTCTAAGGCCTGTAGGCCTGCATCTGCTCTGCTGGCACTGCTTGTCTCTGAGCAGCCGACAGCAGCTCACTGCGGGGCTGGGGAGGAGGCATGGGACAGGGCAGGGCAGTTCTTACCGAAGGTCCTTCCGTGGAAGCCACCCATGAAGGAGAGCATGGCATAGTCGGGGCAGCCGGGGGGCTGGAAGCAAAGCACACAGGTCAGCACAAAGATGCCAGAGCTGAGCTGCTGCCCACAGCCTTCCTCCCTGGGCAGCAGCCACCAAAGATGGTTACGTTGGCACATTTAAGAAGCACGTGTCATCCCCCGAGAGCTGCCTGAACTCTAAGATTATATCATAGCATTAATGAATATTTGGCAATTAACACTGGCAATAGTATTGCTTTACAACAGCAGATCATTCAATGCAATCAGCCCTTTCTGGCACAAACAACTGCCTGTGCACTGTGTACCCATGTGTGGGGGTGGTGAGGCCTCTGAGCAGAGGTGGGGCTGCAGTCCTGAGAGCTGAGCCCCGCAGTGCTGCTGGGGAGCAGGTTTCAGAACGGGCAAAAGGGGGCTGTGGTGAGGGAAAAGCGACGCAGAGCAGATCACACTGCCCAGCCCTGAAAGGAAACTGCAGCCTGTGGAGAACCCACACCACAGCAGTTTTATGCTGAGGGACTGCAGCCCACGGAGGACCTGCACAGGGCAGGGGAAATGTGCAAGGAGAAAGGAATGGCTGACAGGAAGAGTTATGGACTGACTGCTGAGCCTGGTAAAGGGACGGCGGGGCCACGGGCACCACATCGGATTCCCTAAGAGCTGATAAGCAACTTCTTTATATTCTACAGACCGCCTTGATAGCAGGCAGAGATACCAAAGCAGTGAGCGAGAGCTGCCTGCTACGTTATGTCCGAGTGTCTGCACCTGGGGCACCTCAGAACAGCACACAGCTTTGATGTGCTGCACCATGAATGAAAGAGGAACCATGAGAAAAAAACACGTAACTGCATACTGCCTGCAGTTCACAAGAAGGATGTACTTCAGCTAACCCCAGCCACTCCAAAGGTACAGATTACCTTTCTTGGTGTTTCTCTCTTACCCTAGGAACGAAAGGCTTACCACCACTTACACACTCTTTAGACCTTTGGTCTAAGCTATGTGCTCAAGGATCCAACATTTGTAACCCCCCCAGAAAAAGGCGTAAGTTGCTCTGAAAATTTCCCACCCTCAAACTTTAAAGAAAACTTGATTTGCTCAAATGTGAACCTCAATTTTTAGAAAGCTAAACCTGGCCAAAAGGTGACCATCAGTTCCACAAGTCTTTGGTCGTCAGAAAATTCCTCCTCCTGCAGGCCATTAGGTGCCATTCCTTCATTAGGATGGGCACAACCATCTCTCTGGACAGACCGTGAGCAACACCAGAGAACTTTAATTCCAAAGACAAACCCTTCTCATTTTTAAAGCTAAATGAAGTCAGTAATCTCATGCAAATGAACTGGAGTGCTTTTCACTAGAGAAGTGACAATGGGCCTGAGACCAGCAGGTTACATGCATCTCAAAGAAGAGATCAAATATGCAGTTTTCTGCTATTGCAGCGAATTAAGATTTGTGCCTGGCATGAGTAAGACCACCTCAGCTGAAAGCTGAGTAGGACTTCAGAGGTTTTTCTGCTGTATCTCTGTTTTCTCATCCCACCTGTTATCAGTTGAATTTTAACTACCCTCCTGATTAGTTTTAAGCCGTAAGATCACAGCTTCTGGAAAAATGAAAAGGACAGTCAATATTACATGCAAAAACATGCTTATATTAATAATCCCTACGGGCCCATCCATCATCTAATTCCCTTTCTTGGTATTTCATGAAAAAAGGAAGATCTTCCCAAGATCCGCTGTGTGGACAGATGCAGAAGAACACGACCAGCAGGTCTTGGTATTTTTGTTGGAAGCAGTTTGTCTTTCCCCATTCTTTAAGTTTACAAAATTGAGATTCCACTTCAGAGACAGGAAAACCAATTCTTCCTCCCAGTCTTTTCTTAGAAACCCAAGCCAGTGCTACATCTGTATAGTAAAAAAAACCAAAAACCCACGTTACCTGGTTAATCATGCATGATTCCAGTTCCTCTTTTGTGACATTATTACGGCCCCTCTCCTTGTTCTGCAAATAAACAAAACAAAAACAAGCAGCTACCAACAGTTTTCCTTTAGTTGTAATCAATGAATTTATACCTGAGTTACAAGTTACTAGTTTTGTTATTCTAAACTAGAGGCAGTGAAGGCCGTGGTTCCTATGGCTGCAATGTGCATTTTGTAAGACAAACTGTTTTAGGTAATTGTCAGTTTAAGATGTTGGCCCTAATAATGTACAAATAGGCAAAGCCAGTCTGTCCACTCACTCCTACACGTTAGGGGAAAGAAGACTGCTGTTGGAGAGGCTGTTCCCAAGGAATACATGACCTTCCTTGGGTTTTAGGTTAAACCATTTCTGGAAGAAGAAATAGATCACACTGTGTGGTGAACAAAGAATAAGCACAAATACCACATACATTTTCTTTCTTTCCTTTACTTCTTAATTTCTGAAATTGTATCAATTAGAAATTGAAAGCTCAGAAGAAGGCTTTTTCATAAAGAACCTATATTAAGGTGAATATAAATAACATCACACCTAGAGAGCCTCTGACCCTTACTTTGCTTTGTAACAGCAGTTATGTTGATGAATAAATAGATTTCCACATTCAAAACTACAAAACTACAACACTGTTAATATTTTACTCACTCTGTACCACATAAATATTAATTTAAATGCATTTTCATTTGAGCAGGATCCACAAGCCATGGTCATCACCTGTGGCAGACCCTTGGGAGCCACCTGTCAATAAAAAGGGAAAATCGCTTCAAAATACTGAGCTCAACTATAGTGGAAATTGAATGTAATGCAATTAGTCTCAAAGTAATGGGAAACCAGCCATGCTTGGGACGAGGAAAGCTGACTCCTACTGCAGCTGAAGAGGCTCAACACTTACGCTACCTCTTATGAAAGCACAGTGAACAGAAGTAAATGAAAAAGCATTCTGTCATCAATTCTTGAATCCACATTGAAAGCCGCAGTATCTGTGCTGAGAGCAGACATCACCTTTCCACACTGAAGCCTGGGGAAAAAGGTTCCATTTTGTCCCCTGCTGGTTCTGGTCTCTTGAAAGAGCTTCCCTCCGGCGGGAGGACAAACTGCTGACCCACGGTGTTCCCTATGAAGACCCCACATCTCCCCTTGACGTACCCATGTCCCTAAACACAGAATGCAGTAACTCATCACAGCCATCTCAGACTTACTGATAACAAAGATTCCTTCAGTCTTTCTGAAAAGTTCTCCGGAGGTAAAATCCCTAGGGCAGGTCTGTTGATAAAAGTGCTCTACAAAAACAAAGGAAGAGAAATTGTTAGCTTTCAGTATTATGTGGAAAATATCGTGCTGATATGGAGGCAGTTACATCTCATTCTTTTCACAAATAACAGCCATAAATTTGTACTGTTATGTTTCCTGGGCAGTAGTGGGCAGTGCAGCAAGGAGATCAGCGAGAAGCTACCTTGCATACTATTCTCCCCATAATCAGAAACATGCATTAAATCAAGCTCAAGAACACTGACTATGATGTATCCAGACAAGCTGGTGAAAATGCTTTTCAACTACATTCTGCTTTCATGAAGCCTGCTGACTTGTACTGGAAACACTCCAGTTAAATATTTCTTGTTCTGGTGCCTTTTGTTTGCACAGCCACCCTTCCCACTGCCTTACCTGGAATTTTAGGTACATTCTTTATTGTGCACTACAATAGAAGATTTCTAGCTTGTCAGCATCGTTTCCTCACCTCTTCTTTTCTCCTTTCCGTTTCCTGATTAAGGTCTGACCTGAATCAGGTGCTACTACTGCTGACATGGTCCCAATGGTTGCAACGTGACCTCTCCTAACATAGTGCTTGCACAGCTGAGCTTTGGTAACTCAAGTCTTTACGGGTCTCCAAGAAGGAACAGGCTACATCCCAAGCTTGTACAGTTTTCATCAGCCTTCCATCTTTTCTCACTACAGGTACTCATTTATTCAGACCACAGTAAGAGGTGTGAGTGGTCATACTGTAAAATCACAGCAAGCCTGGAGGCAACTCAGAGGCCCTCTACCCCAGCACTGCCCCAGCAGAGCCTTGCAGAGCAGGGCCCAGCCCCACAGGGCTTTGGGAGAGCTCCAAGGAGGAGACCCCACAGCCTCTGGGCAGCCTGTGCCAGGGCTCCGGCACCGCACAGCACAGCAGTGCTACCTGATGGGCAGAGGGAGCTGCTGTGCTCCGGGTTGTGCCCAGTGCCTCTGCTCCTGGCACTGGGCAGAGCTGCAAGGAGCCTGGCTGCACCTCCCTTTGGGTATTTATGGACATGGAAGAGATCCCTCTGAGCCTTCTTCTGCTGAACAGCCTCAGTACAGGTAGAATGTTTCAGCAGAACTCTGAGATAACCAAAAGTCACATAAGGCATAACAAAGTGTGAGCTAGGACACAGTAATTCATACAAGTGTACTAATTCCAAAACACTATTTGCTTCAACAGACTTAAGCTTAAAAAAAAAAAGTAATGCCTTTACTAGCAGATAACCACAAAGTTCTTGTTTAGTACCTACGAGAACTCTTACTTGACTTTTTACATCACTTTAGAAGGCAATTCTCATATAAAATTAAGAGATATGAGACCATAAATCTGTCATGAATTTGATTATGGGTTGTCACAGTCAATTGACAACATTTGCCATTAGGCAGAAAAGTCAATTTCTCTTTTGTTATTAATGAGATGCTCAGTACCAAGAGAAACGTAACACTGATATCAAGCTGCTGTGGTCTCAAATGAATGGTTGCATATTTTGTTCTTTATAGCCGGCTATAAGGAGGGTACATGGAGCATTACAGATAAACAAAAAAACATCTGTCCAAGAAAACACCAATCCTGTTGTTAACTATAATCAAGGGCCCTCCATTGATGCGTATTACTCAAAAAACATTAAGGCTGTTTTTTGAGTACTAAGGTTGGCACTGCAGTCAGACCCCAGCGTCTGCAGTGACGCTCCCCCAAGTTCTGCCCTTCCAGCTCTCCGGCCTCAGCGCCACAAAACTGCCCTGCAGAAATGACATTCTGCCTGTGCTGGGCTCAGAGCAAAGGCTGCCAGGAATGGGCAGTGCAGTCAGGGACAGACTGCCTTAGTGCCACCTTCTGCCCTTGATCAAACTGATGATCAGAACTGATGATCTGATTTTCAGAAACCAGAACAGGGTACCAGTGTTTTTCATGCAGGAGAGATGGGCCTGATATTCAGGCTGGCAGCCTTTTCCAGCTTAAAGATTAGCAACTGCCACCACACAATTGGTTTTTGTTTTGTTTAAAATCTGACTTTGCCTACTACTGTGTTAAACAAGGCACTGCCATCTCCAGAAATAACTTCATAACTCAATGAACTTAATATTAAGTAGAAATACCAGTGCTTCCACGTATCCAAATCTGCCTTCAGTAACTCTAGAATTTCTAGCCTTGACAGGAGACTTATTTTATTTTCAAATTCACATCCTGCGTTTCTGGGAAAGGCAGAGCTCCTCTCATCCTGAAGGACTGAGAACTATTAGCAAGCTGCTAAGAGGCCCAGGGAACCCAAACACCTGCGCTTCTCTCACATGTTGGCCTCAGCTTTGCTCTCCAGGACAGAGCCATGAGACTTCATGCAGGCAGCACAGCCAGGGGATCTGGTGGCGTGCAGCCAAAGGCCGTGCAGCTCAGGTCTGCATGGCTGCATTCTGCTACTCAGTGAAATCACAACTCTGTGCATAAACATCTCTGTATCGTGTACATAACTTGTGGTGTTTAAAAGTAAAGGGGTAAAATTAATGCAAACAAGCAAACCCACAAACTGATTACGGAACTCCTGTCCAAGAAATGAAAACACGAAGCCTCAATGAGAATGCAGCTTTTTTCCAAATACTGTCAGCACAGTGTTGAGGAAATAAGAAGGTATTTAATTTAAGAAGCAGTTACTTGGCCTTGAAATCATCCTGTTGCTGAACTCTTCAGTTTTCAAGCGCATGCCGGTGGTTTAGTCAACTTCATGCTTAGGAGATGAGAACCAAGAAACACCCCTCAAAAAAAAAAAACCCACAGAAAACCAAACCAAAACAAAGCAAAAAAAAACAACCCCTAAAATACATTAACAGACAGAGCATTCCAGATGTAAAGCACCATTTTCATATACAGAATACCACGCTCTGAAGGACTTGTGCTTGATTTCAGCCTCAAAAGCATCAGTCAAGAACATGGCTAAAATAATTAATTGGAAACTGTGAAGGGTGGTTTAAATTGGCTGCAAACATCCCAACTGCTTGCATTGACAAATGTTTCCTTATTGTAAAGCTTTGCATACTTTCTGATGTCTTCTTAAACACAACCAAGCTATCTTTATCTAATGAGAAATAAGACAAGCAGATCTTACCATACTTTCAAAGTGAGTCATTATGTGTTCATTATCAGCCTAAGAGAAATTGGAGAAGACTGCCACAAGGAGGGAGAGAATGCCTTCAAGTATGTTGGAATTCACTTACCAGGTTCTGTGGCTGCTGGAGAAGCTTTATCAGAGATGGATGGCTGTAACCTAATTAAAAAGAGAAAGAAAAGCTGTGTCTTGTTTATGTAAACTAATGTGGAGAGTGACCCAGAGAATAACTTTATTCAGACTTAAATTCTGTTTAACGTGTGTATGCTTCAACTATCAAGGATACGACTTCTTTTAAATAGGACAGTTCCCCTCTTTTACAAACTTGGTATCAGGTAACAGCACAGTGTATTTCAGTACATACAGTTATAAACCCAGAGAAAAAAAAAAAGAGATGAACATAACACTGATCTTCTGGCAGTTGAACATCACAGTTTCTATCTCGTGGCCTTTCTACGCAAGATGCTGTCAAACTTGCTGGGAAGTGCACGCACTGCGCGGCATGCTCTTTCCTAACCAGCTTTCTTATCTCCCTGTTTTCCTCTAACACACTTTTTGTTGGACAAAGATGCTTGTCCTTTTTACCTGTAACAGTTAAAATATTAAGGAGGCTTCAGATTTAACAAGGCAAAAGAGCTTAATTTATACTCATTGATGTTACATGAGATCCCCTGCTTGTTTACAGGTAAACCAACGGACCTGATGTAGAAAAGGTATTCAGCACAGAAAATTGTGTTTTAAACCCAATTTTTACATCTGAAATGTCAACGCCACAGACTTAACATAATCTTTTGAAACTCTCCTGCAGAAACAGTTGGAAACCTCATCTTCCCTACCGCTCAAGAAGCCATCCTGCTGTAATGTTATTACAAAAGCAAATCACGCCCCTGATTTCCCCATTCTAGTTGAATGACAACAGCCTTTATTATCCTGCCTGAGCAGCAGAGCATTCGGCTACAGCATTAACAAATCAATTATAAATTCCATCTTGAATATTTTAGTTCAAAACAGGAGAATATCCAGACTTTTTTAGCTGCGCATCATTCTGCAAGGTATCTGTTAAAATGATTATGAAGATGATACAAGTGGCTATTTGGACACAGGCAACTAAGCCTGCATTGCATCAGCTGCCATGGGACAGACAGACACAGCTGAGGGCTGCGGCGCTGAGAGCTGAAGCTGTGGCTGCAGCCCTGGGCACCCTGGAGAGCACAGCTTAGGAAATCTCAAATTACCCCTGTTATAAAACAACCACCAGCACCTAGGAAGCTTAAGCATTAACTCTGATACTGCTTGTAAAAAATTGTGGTTCTGTTGCTGGTGCTAAGTTAGCAGGAAGAACACAGAGACCTTTGTATCTTATGTTATGTAACACAAATCCAAGGTTTCCGTTACCCATGACCCATCTTCTCCCATCCCCACAAGACGACGCCTTCCTTTCCCTTCACTTTGTGCCCCACAGCTCTGTCTGCCTCCTCCAGCACTCTCTGTCCATCAGCACATCCTTGCCAAGGCACGGTAAGAAAGAATCCTTAAACCCTGCCTTTCTGAAGGAGCAGGAACGGAGAGATGCTGACCTGCTGTTTGGGTTTATATTAATAAATCTAACACTGGAAAGACCGGAATGGTTAATTATTATGTAACTATTGCAGACAAAAGTCAGACTGCTCCTGGGCTAAGACGGCAGACAGGAGCTTGTTTCATTGCCAAGGGCAGCACAATGGTTTATAGCTTTATGAATCCACTCTCCAGCACCTTTGAATCAGCAGTGACAGAGCTGGCTCTAAGAGAAGGGCACCTGCTCCATCACTGTACCTGTCTGTCTCCATCAGCACAGCAGAAAAGAACTCGTCCTCCAGGCTCACGGATGTGCCTGTTTGCAACGGGATCAAAACTGCTGAAAGAAAGAGATGGAGAAAGCCCTAAGAAATGAACCCCAGGCTGCTGCCAGCAACACCAAACTGCACCTCTGTGAATCTCCAAGAACAAAACAGGCCTCACCACCAATAAAAAAAAGATTACTTCATTTGGTACTGCAGGTGGCGTGCATGTCAACATGTCAATAGACCCCTCCAGGCATTTGGCTTCAGGGGGTTTCTATCTCAATTACACACATTAGACACAGGTTTAAAGGAACATGTGTTACAATCTCCCCCAAACTAGTTGGTTTAAAAAAAACAAGAGTTTTAAAACAGAAACTGCCCAGAACATCTTTGCCTGCAGGTTTTTTATACTTCTTATCTCTCCGCACTGGCGCTTATTACATCTCACCTTCTGCTGATAAGTACATCCTGCTGTAGCAGATTGTTATTAAATCTTGGGGAGCTCTGGCTGATTCACAAAAGATCCCACTGAGTGCAGGTGCAGAGATAAGCACCGATGACTACAAGCACCTTGATCTGAGAACGTCATCTCACCCACAATCCTCACCAAGATTTTCTTCTGGTGTCCGAGTTAGGACTTATCTCTCTCACCAAGGACACTGTTAGTGACCTCTGCAGCTTCACTTTGCCTACCCTGTCATTGAGTTCAACTTAGAAAAAACTAATACTGCGTGTTCAGTCAGATTTAAGTCAGCCGGTATTACATTCCCATTTACTTGCTGCTGCACATCACAGATCCACTGTGTGTGAGATGCCATATGAAGTGCTGCACTGTAGCTCTTACATGGCACACTGCATTCCCCTTCTACCTGTCAGCACCCTGAATGCACTTCAGGCAGTTTTCCCACTGCACATCCCATTTTATTTCTTGAATATTTGCTTTGATCAAAGTTCAGCAATCATTAGGAGAGGAGGAAATGAACTGAAAGAGACCAGTTAAAATCCTGTTTTAAATCAACGGCATTTCAGGAGAAGAAATCCACACTCAACTGAATAAATAGCCTGGAGAAATTGTTTTGAAGACATGAATTTTGTTCACTTAATTTTCTACTCCTTTCAAACTATGAAACTCAGCACTGTCCCATGCCCTAATATGTGACAAGACATTGAACGAATACGTCAGAGATGCATAAATGGATGATGAAATCCCACTGGAGTCCACATGGCCCACTCCTCTTTTCAGCTCTCTCATGAAAGAAAGGTTAGCTCAAGCACAGAACATGCTTTCCTGTTAATGTCTTTAAGTTAGATTTATTATATTAGCGTTCAAAAACGTAACATACTATTACAAAATCACAAGGTACCCAAATCCAAGCAGACAAAGCCTAAACCACGGAATGGCAAACACAAATTAATATTAGAGCTTCTTCTAGATACTGCTCTGTGCTCCAAGTGAGCCATAAGGACTGCATTTTTAACCCTGTTTCCCCAGCTGTTCAAAAACACCACAGCACAATACAGCAGTGTGGTACCCTGAGCACAGCGAGGCACACATTATGTCAGCCTTTTGTTGGGTTGCTGTTAATTAACCAACTTGTTTGGTAGCGCCTGAGAGAACAAAAGGACAAAGCAAAACTTGCAGTACGGTCGTTCCTACCTATGGGGATGGATGAAATCTGAGAGTAGAGATCCAGCATGCGATTGCCATCCACATCCACGAGGTAGTTCCCTCGGCTCTCTTCGTAGTTGCAGAAGAAGTGCACAGCTTCGGCATTCTTAAAGAGAAAAGCAACAAGCAATGAAAGCTTTACGTAGCAGCAGCGTGGAGAAAGCAACAGCAAAATCTATAAAGATAAAAAATATAAAGACACATTATATCCATTCCATGGGAATTAACTGCAAAGCTACTTTTATAAAGAGGAACTGTTAAGAGTTGCCTGTTCTAAGGAAAAAATGGAGGCAGAAAAATGTCCATTTCTAACATCTGCCAGATAGCTAACAGGCAACGACTGAACGACTCCAGGTGAACAGAATGACTCTGCCAGTCCTCAGTGAGGAGGAGGGAGTTCCAGATCTGAGAACTTCCAGGCTGAGAACTCTCAGGCTTCTTTACTCAGTGAAGCCCCAGATGATGTCTGCAGTTACACAGAACACAAACCTGGCACGGATCGGCAACTGTTTCTGAAGGAGCTTAGAGGCAAGAATGTACTTCCTTTCACATAGAGCAAGCACAAGCATTGAGGAACTGCTCATCCTGGGAAGGCGATTTGCACACAGGCTGGCACACGTCTAAGGCCAAATACTCCTGTGTTCTCAATGGCCACGTGGTAACTCAAACGACACACACAGTGTTCCACTGATTACAGACAAATCACTGATATTAGCAAAACAATTCTACAGTATTGAAAACAGACTAGAAAAGATTTTATCCAATCGTATACACACACCATGCATCATATACTTGGCATTCAAAGCCAAATTCCACATTCCTCTTTTTTTTTTTTTTTGCACAGAACTAAACATACAAAACCAGATTTTGAACTAAGTTCTGGAATCATAGCACTGACACCTGTACTGAACTCAGAAAAATGTGACCAATTACCTGAATTCCATTCAGCTGCTTCATTAATTCCTGTAGGAAACAAACAAAAAAAAAAGAGATCAGCCTCAGGAATGTAATTGCTGAATGCTGACAATCATAGAATCATAAAATGGCCTGGGTTGAAAAGACCACAATGATAATGCCCTTTCAACCCCCTACTACGTGCAGGGTTGCCAACCACCACACCAGGCTGCCCAGAGCCACATCCAGCCCATAAGAACGTTTCCTTTATGTGACCACATAAACTATGTGCAAAGCTTGCAATCTCATCTTATTACCAGGCAAGTGCACTTGCCACATGAACCTTCACAGTGCACGGGCAAAAATGACAGTTAAAACTATGGCACACTGAACTGCATGGGCTGCACCCACAGTGCCTCCAAAAGGAAAAGCTGCCTTTCTACTGCTCGGCTGAATGGAGAAGAGACAAATCACATGCGTGGAAGGAATACTGGCTCACTGGCTCTAGAAACACAGCTTTAAAAAAAATAGAAATCAGTTTCTTAACATGTAGAATAACTGTGCCCACTGTGTTTGTGCTCCATGCAAATTCCTGTGTTGCAAAGGAGGCAGCACGCAAATTCTTGAAGAAAATTGTTTTGACACTGGAAGCACTTGTAAGTGCCCTCAGTTCTAATGCTTGCTCGCTTTTCCTCTGCTGATTTAACAGCTTCTGTTCAAGTACAGACTCTGACAGAGAACTGCTCAGCAAACTGAAACTTTGCATTGTTTTCCACACCAAAGCATTATTTTACATCACAAGAAGTCAGCTGGGATGCCCTGCAAGTAGCCAAAACTGCACAGGAAGCAGAGAGACCTTTCAGCAAATGGTGCCCTTTGGCTTGCAGTTACTTCAAATGAGAAGCTGACAGCTGAGCTCCAGAGAAATTCAGGTCTCTCTCAGAGAGGGGCAATGCAAGGCAGGGTTTCCCCCTTCCTGGCTTTTCACCGTCAGCACTTGGATAAAAGAGGCACAGACTGTTGCAATGTGATTTTTATCCACATCAGAATTAAAGTTTGGAATAAAATTTGTTTTCTAATAAGTTAAATACTACTAAAGAAAAAAATAAATAAGCCACTATGCTTTGAGAACTCACCCGAGATCGTGGTCCAGGAACTTCTGTCTTCATTAGAGGTCCATCGTAATCAAAATCCACATCAATTTTAGCTGCAGCTTGACTGATATATCTATGCCCTGCAGGAGATAATGATAACCTGAGTATAGACCATAATTTCTGTGTTCTCCTTCAGAATAAATATCCAAACCTTACCTGAGTGTGAACAGTTGACAGATGAGACCAATTACGTCGTGCTGTCTGAATGGAACCAAATATCTCATCTCTTTGACAAGCATGAAATAAAACTAATACCAGTGAGATAGCTTTAAAAAACCCCACAACAATGAAGTGAGACGACAGGGCAGCCCTAGAGAAACAGAGGCAAATCCTACTGTAAGGGACAGAGCCCACGTGCCTTCGTTACAGTGCCAAGCAAACAGAGCTAGGATACCCGTGGCACCAAGCAGATGCAGTTAGTAAGTGCCAAGAACCACTTTGCTTCTGGTGGATCCCTCCTGGATACACGTACATTCCTTCAGGGGGGTTAGAGGATTCACTGTGCATCTGCAACCAAGGAGGTATAGACTCAGGAGCTTCAGCCAGGTGCCCAGCAAGAGACCACGAGCATGGTGCATGCACTGTCATTAAGTGCTGAGCTGAAGTGATGTCCTTAACAGCCACATCTGTGTCACAAAGCACCTGCAAGCCTTTAGCCAGAGCAGTATCAAGGACAAATTAATAAGCTTCACTCAGGGGGATCACCTATGGCCCAGATCAATACCTGAAGGATGAGGCACAGCCTTCAGTCCATGACAGGCAGGTTAACCCGGAGCGATTTGTGAAGGCCACGCGAGGCCCTCGGCTCCATTCCGCCAGCAGAGAGGTGTGCCACGCAAGCCTGGTTTGGAGAAAGTTTATCTGAAAAGTCACAGCGCTTGGAAAGCATCCCTTGCTGCTCATCTGGGGAAAATTTGGTCTGCAAAGATAAATCTCCTCAGCTTTAATTCCGTGTGCTGTATCCGAGATGCGTCACTGCCTCTCTGTAAGCTATTAATAGGTTTCATTACAGCAACACCACTTCATTTTTGTGTCACTCTGTTTAGCTTTCATGTAAATTGGAGTCTGCATGGCAACTGTTCCACCAGAAAAGACAGCAACTGCAGATACATAACCAATGAAGCTGCAGATAGAGCAGGCAGCCTGTAGAGACTCCAAGGGGAGAAGAGACCCAGCTGAGCCACGTGCCCCTGACTCCATCCGTGATGGGATACAGCAGCACACCAACACTGAATGCTTCTTCTTCTCCTGTATTAACCAGCATTTATTTTATAAAGCTCAGTAAACAACAGATAAATAAAAACCTAATGAGCTTCCAAGAAGTAACGCAGACCTTCCTTCTGCTGGTGCTCTGGGCTGGTAATTTCTGCTCCATAGATTCTGAAAGAACTGCATAACAGATTCATTATAACGCCACCCAGGAACGTGCCAAATAGCACAGGGCTGAGAGGAAAGTAGCTTTACAGTGAGACAATTGTTTTATTGTTGCCCAGCATGACTTTCCCTGGTATTTCTGCTAAAGGTGTGGAAGTGTGTTCCCTTACCCGACCCGCAATGGCTACAGCACACCCCTCTGCACCTGTCACACCAGCACCACGCAGCAGCCAGTTGAGAGACTACATGCTCCTATTACAGCCATGCTCCTCCCTCCTTGAAATTCATATTGCACTACAACTCACATGTAAACCAGCCCTCAGATGTTTGATGCTACGCTGTTGAACCAATGGACCAACTCAACCCGCCGACCTTCTGATGAAGCGCAGTGGAAGAAAGGTTTCTCCTGTTCTACTAATTTTGTGTAAGAATGGGACCAAATGATGTGACCACAGCTCTCGTCTTAAGAATGTGAAGAGGTAAAGAGCTGCAGCAGGGTATCTGTCTCTGAAGAAGCGTTAGTAACGTTTTTTAATTACACGTAGCTAATATGGGGCAGCACAGCAAACAGAGCACCTCCTGACATCAAATCAAAAGTCAGAAAATAAATGATGAACCTAATTATCAGAGAGCACATCAGCTGAATGACTTACAGTGGATTTTCGACCCACCTGGTTTATTGATGGTGGGTACAATAAATCAAATTCTGCTTTTCTTGCTTCTTGGAGGCTATTCAAAAGTCTGTGTCATGCACGATCTTTGTAAACACCAGAGTGTGTAACACCAGCAAATCATCACATCCTTCCTTTTCACACAGCAGGATGCCATCACTTGCTAGCAGACAGAAAAGCTCCTTCTTCAACTCCTGTTTTCTAAGCTATCCTCATCACTCACCAGGTGTCTTGTGCAGCAGTTTTTAATACAGAAACATATTGCTATAGCAACATAATTAATGTAAATACACCCTTGCATCACTTTCTGATGTTAGTCACAAAGAACACTGCTGTGGGCAGGGCTCAGTGTTAAGCAGCAATCTTTGCGAAGGAGAGGGAGGTTCACCACAGGTCTAGCAAGTCCTTAGGCCTCCACAATGTCTGAGCAAAAATACACTGATAAACACTGCTCCTGAGAGCACAACAACTGGGTGTTACCCAAGAGAAACTCCAGAGGAGGCACCAAAATTATCTAAGTGTCATTAAGAGGAGGAACTACTCCCAAAGCTAAAAAATAGAAGACAGAAAAGAAATGCTGGCACATCTCTCAAGTGCAAGTATTCTGCTGTGCTATATCACAGAGTGAATGTCCCCCAGCCCCGACGAGGGGCGCTGCATGTGCCACAGCACACAAATATCCCACGTGTGTTTTTAACTTCTACCCCACAGTGTCTATCAAACCATCTTCCAGATAGAAATTTGAAGCATGGAGTCCCTGACGGCCAAAAGTAGGAGGACTGTGATTTCCTCCAAATCCTATTTTAGGTGCTGCGTGGAATCTGTTACTACCAGCTCTTGAAACGGAATGGCAAAAGCCCAGGCTAGCTAGAGGTGTTTGGAAAGTGAACATAACTGTTGCATAATATTGTGAAAACTGAGACTGCTATTTACAGAGTGCTTACGCTGCAAGATCAGAAGCTGTTCCACATGAGATGGACTGTGTTTCAGTATTCTCACATGCACACTGGAAATTTTTAAGAGGAACAGGGCTCTCCAAGGACCAAGACAAAAACTGGTATCAAACAGTGCAGAAGTGGAAGCTCCCATAAGAAAGAGTAAGAACAGCTGCCTCCCCTCACCACAGCTGAATCCCGAATCGGCTTCTCAGCAGAGTAATGCGAGCATCAAGCTGCTAGTTTTCTTGTAGGTCTTCCACATAGCTGTGATGGGGACAAATCAATAACAAATACTAGTATCTCTCAGTCTTCACTGCAGCATGCCTGTGAGATAAAGTGACATTATCCTCTGTAGGGAGAGAGGAACCAGGCTGAGACATGATAGGCACAGCATCAGACAGTTAGTTCACATGAGGCACTGCAGTAAAAGTGCAGAGATTCTGAAGAACATCTGGTCCTATGAGGACACACTGAAATGTAGATAGATAGATAACCCGAGACAAAGACACTAAGTGTTAAGGAAGGTTTTAAATACATAAAAGGCTCGCAAATTAAAAATAAGCATTTCAGCCTCCAGGTCCACCAAGGATAAGACAAAGAGTAAGGAGATGATTTTTGCCCGTTTTGAAACCTAGGTTAAACATTAGAAAACAGCTTTAAACGTAAGGTCTGTTCAGCAATAGAGCAGACCACCTCGGGAAGCTGCAGAAGCCGTGCTGCTGGGTGCCTTTAGGAACAGGTCAGCGTCCCTGGGGAACATGGGCATGCACTAATGCAAACTGATGCACCTTAAGGCAGAAGACTGACCTTTTGGCATGCTGTGCAGTTCAATATCCAAAGATGAATTCAATCCCTTAGGCTAATCAGTAGGAAACTGAAACTTGGATCTTTAGAGTCACAGCCTGTCCTCATAATTATAGTACAACCCCCTCAGCTAACAACAGAATGCTGTTAGATTGCTGGCTGAAATTCATCAGGAAAATGACCTGAAGCTCACATTTTCCTACAAGTGTGAGAGTCTCCTGCCTGTTCTATATCCAGGAGCACTGCAGGATAAAAGACTGCCAGGACTGCTCCTTCTAGTGAGGGCTTCTATTGCTGCTTGGTGTTTTCTAATCCCTGAAGACAGGCGCACACAGCAGCCTGCCCCAAGTGCAGTGGAGCTGCCATGCCACCTGCCAACAAGGCCCCACATTCTTTGCCAGAAGCCTGCTTTCAACAGGCTTTCCCATTTACAAGTTTTCTGAAAGCAAAGATGGACTAATGGAGTCCAGAGCTGCATTCCTTTTGCACTGAAGACCTACATCTCTTCAGTGCAACATTAAAAGAAGAGTCAGCCCTGTGCGCCCATCTGCACCCTAATGACTCAAGAGTCTTGCACAACTGTCACAGCCAGTGATCCTGGTTGGGAAGCACCATGGAAGAATGCAAGACACTGGGAGGAACATAGGAATGTGGAGCACCCACACTGAGATGACAGATTAGCTCAAAGATGGCTCACGGAGGTCTGCTTGCTGCAAGCACTTTCCGTTTGCACTATTGACCAAACGATCACTGCTCTTGCACAGCTCAGATAATCAGTGCGTCACTCCCAGAAATAGAAGGGCAGCCAGTCCTCAAACACTGAGCTGGGACTTTTCCAACAGTTGAAAGACCAAACTTGGTGCCCCTAACCAAAGGTCAGCTGTTCCTCCAAGTGTATTGTTTAGAAGAAAACCAACTAAATCTAAGTTTCTGAGCAATGGAAGGGTTTTGTGTTCAGCTGGCAAAAGAAGCACAGAGGCACAGCAGGATGGTGGGATGAGAGAAGAAACTCAGTCACACAAAAAGCCATTCAACCGTACTGCACTCAGCGTAGCAGAACATAAGCTGGATGCCAGACTTAAAGCTCTACGCTTTGTCCAAAAAGACCAACAGAAATCTGCACTTTTGAAGCACGAGCCAGAATCTTGAACACCTATTTCACAGAGATTGCAGGGTCTTGATACACACACACACACACACACACACACACACACACACACACACACACACACACACACACTGAACTACAAGCATTGGGCCAGGCAAGAACTTGTCATCACATACTTAGGAGAAAAGTGCCTGATGCTACAGCTCAGTGTTCATTTTACAATGCAGCTGAGTGCAGGCAGAAGCACACAGCCCAGCGAGGGCCCCCTCTTTGCACCCACCATGCAGAAACTCCCCATGACAGAAATCAGCATGGTCACACTATGTAATGTGAACAGGAATAAGAGTGATTTTGATGGAAAATATTTGCATTCCTGTACTGCACAGGATGAAAAAGTAGCCCTGTGGAGGCTGGAGAACTTTTTTTCAGTTAATAATTTGCATTGTAAACATGCGAAGTTAATGAGTTCTTCAGTTTGCAAACTTAAAAACCACGAAAAACAACCCAGCATCCCTGCAGGCTGCTGCTGTACAACTGTATTGTTATCCAAGACGCAGAACAGTGTTCTTCAAGTTTTGAAAGATGCACCACTGGACAAACCTCAGCAACATTCAGCGGAATTTTCTCTGCTAGAATTGCTACTGTAGCAATACAAACCAAAAACCACAACCATCACTTACCAAATATGAGCAGCCTGGCGTTCTGCTGCAGACAACAGCTCAGCTGCCGACTAAGCAGCATTGATGCCATTTTGTACGTTCTCTACTCAAAAAGGCTCAATCTTGATGCCGATGTTCTGGAAAAAAAAAAAGAAGAAAAAAAAGAATGAAAACATTTATTCATGTCCTGCAGATGCAGCCGCTGTGCCATTCATCTCAGCTTCTCCATTCAGTGCCATGACGGCGAGCTGAGCCCAGTGCTAGGTCCTGTTCAGGCAAAGGACTCCTAGAGCAAATCTGTACCTCCCAACTTTAATTTAGCCAAGAAGTAAAAAGATAATTTATTTTCCCCTCTTCCCTTGCTCATCTACTTTCAGCGTGTATCTTAGACTATATTAAACTTTCTTAAAAATTGTTTCCAGCCACAGATCCCTCAGGCTAAAAGCATTACTCAGATTCAACCTTAAGTTTATAATAACTTCATCTCAGTCAAGAAGACAGCAGGAGAAACATTAGGAAATAAAAAAGAAAACTCATTCTCTGAAGAAACCCAGCATCTACCAACCAACGACATCTATGAGAGCTGGGCTTGTTCAGAGCACAGCAGGGAAGGCTCAGGCTGTACCCACCCAGGTGTGCAGAGCCCTGACCAGGAGCAGGGCTTACAGAAGTGGCAGAACAGAACAAAGAACTCCTTGCCTGTGGAGATCTATTAACTCACAGATAAATTAGTACTCATGGTACAAAGAAAATCACCTCTGCCTTTCCAGACAACTGACACAGCACTTGGATTCTTGTAGCTTGCTCTGAGTTCAATTTTCTTTTCTATATATTTTGAAATCCACCAAGGTGAACAAACACTTGCACAACGTTGGTATGCAGCTTAGAAAAAGCTGTGTCAGCTTTGTGAGGCGCTGGGGTCAGAGATGTGGAAGGAATGGGATGCTTGGGCAGACAACAGGAACTTCTCCATAAAGCAGGGTGTGTTTATGGATTCCTTAGTGTTTTATGCTTAGCTTCTCCCTTTGGTTGTGCTAACCTGTGCATTATCAACGAGCAAAGAATGAGCTCCAAACCTCACGTTTCTTATTTCATTATCATCCTCCAATGAAAACCATAGATGAGTCTGAGTCAGTGAAACCACCACAGCAGAAAACAGCCACAAAGGGCCCATCGGCCCCACAGCTCTCACAATGATTAACCACCCCAATGTCCTCTGCTCAGAGCTATCTGCCTGCTCCGTTCTCTGGAAAGCGACTATTCCCTCTGTAACTTTGCTCTGTGAGATCTAAGTGCCCCCACGAGACTGATAAAAGCTAACCTGAGCACCCAGAGCAGCGTGAACGTACCAGGCAGAAAGCTCAACCTGCCACGAAAGCACCACATCGTCCCAGCCCCCTTCATGGCCATCTCCCATGGGTGTTCTGCTACAAACTGACTCCCTGCTTTCTCCATGACGATGTCTCTT